ATTTAGACAACATTGACAGGCCAGTAATGACAGAATTTGGGCATCACTGATTGGCCAGTAATGACAGAATTTGGACAACATTGACAGGCCAGTAATGATAGAATTTGGACAACATTGACAGGCCAGTAATGACAGAATTTGGGCATCACTGATTGGCCAGTAATGACAGAATTTGGACAACATTGACAGGCCAGTAATGACAGAATTTGGGTAACATTGACAGGCCAGTAATGACAGAATTTGGACAACATTGACAGACCAGTAATGACAGAATTTGGGTAATGTTGACAGGCCAGTAATGACAGAATTTGGACATCACTGAAAGCCAGAAAGGAGAGATATGGGCATCAAAGGATGAAATTTTGGCATTATTCACTGACCAATGCGGATAGAATTTTGGCATCATTAATTGATTATTGATAACAGAATTTATTGAACAGGAAGGATAGAATTTGGGCATCATTGATTAATTGATTATTGATAACAGAATTTATTGAACAGGAAGGATAGAATTTGGGCATCATTGAGTGGCCAGGAAGGATAGAATTCGGGCATCATTGAGTGGCCAGGAAGGATAGAATTCGGGCATCATTGAGTGGCCAGGAAGGATAGAATTTGGGCATCATTGAGTGGCCAGGAAGGATAGAATTTGGGCATCATTGAGTGGCCAGGAAGGATAGAATTCGGGCATCATTGAGTGGCCAGGAAGGATAGAATTTGGGCATCATTGAGTGGCCAGGAAGGATAGAATTCGGGCATCATTGAGTGGCCAGGAAGCATCATTGAGTGGCCAGGAATAGAATTTGGGCATCATGGAGTGGCCAGGAAGGATAGAATTCGGGCATCATTGAGTGGCCAGGAAGGATAGAATTCGGGCATCATTGAGTGGCCAGGAAGGATAGAATTCGGGCATCATTGAGTGGCCAGGAAGGATAGAATTTGGGCATCATTGAGTGGCCAGGAAGGATAGATTTTGGGCATCATTGAGTGGCCAGGAAGGATAGATTTTGGGCATCATTGAGTGGCCAGGAAGGATAGAATTCGGGCATCAGTGAGTGGCCAGAGTAGAGAAAATTTGGGCATCATTGACTGGTCATTAATGATTTAACATTATGCATCATTGACATTGAACAGAGCAAATGGAAAGAACAGTTCAAAACTACTCTTTCTTCAAAAATAAAAGAAGAATGTGTTTCTTAAAGTTTAAAAACAAAAAGGAGCATTCTTCAATCAGAGTAGACAAAGCTACTCTTTCTGGAGAAAATGTTCATGCCATGTTGATAAAGGGGACAGAACCAACGTCTTCTTGTGAGAAACAAGAATAATCCTTTCATATTTATAAAGCAGAAAGAACTACTATTTCTTTGAAAAGACAAAAAGAAAAAAGAAAAAAAGACAGAACTGCTGTCTCTTTGAAAAAGCCATCTTCTAATGTTTATAGAGGAGACAAAACTGCTGTTTCTTTTAGAACACAAGAAGAATCTTGCTTTGTTTACAAAACACAGAATTGTCTCTTTGAGGAAGCAAGAAAAGTCATGCTATGTTTAAATGAAAGACGGAACTGTTGTCTCTTTGAAAAGACAACATAATCTTCTGATGTTTATAGAGAAGACAGAACTGATGTCCTTTAAACAGAAATGATATCTCTTTGAGAAGACAAGAAAAAATCTTGCTTTGTTCACAAGGGAGAGAGAACTTATGTCTCATTGAGAAGACAAGAAGAATCTTGATATTTTTATTAAGGAGACAGAACTGATGCCCTTTCAAAAGACCAGATGAATCTGGCTATGTTTACAGCTAAGACAGAACTGTTATGTTTTTGACAGGACACAATGAATCACACTTTGATTGTTAGGGTGACAGAACCGTTCCTTTCTACACTGCTTTCAAGCATTTTCCTCAACTCCTCCTGTATCAATCATCTAATTAAATTTAAGTACTTATTCAAACCTGAAAAGCTGTACCTGACACATAACAATACAGAAATCTATGTGGTTCTTCTGAAAGAGTTGCTGCTCATCTAATAGTATACTGAAAATTAAAACCTAACATTTTTTTAAAGTTTTTTCGAAATTTTTCTCCAAATACAAGGCTTTAACCTGGCTTTGTAATTGAAGAAATTACATCAGTAATACAAGGTTAAAGTAAGCACCTGTTCAAACAGGCTTAATAACCCTTAACAGGTTAAAGGATAGACTTGTATTGCTTTAACCATCTTAATCTGCAATTCACAACTATAAATGTATGTTTTTTATACATACTGATAGTACATGTATTACAAAATGTGCAAAAAAACTGACCAAATTTGCTTCAGGATGGCGATTCTCGGAATACTTGGTATCTTTGGAGGTAAAAACTTTAAGCATAATGAAAAACGGGGTCATGAAATTGCTGGTTTTAGGAAAAAAGAAACTTTACAAATAATGACAAATGGAATCTTTCAATACCATTTGCAATTTGTGATGGAGGCAAAAATTTGTAAATACAGTTATGTGTTGGTAAGTTGGGGTAGGGGTGGGGGTCAGTTAAGACATTAAAAAAGATAATACTGTAAACATATTGAATTTTGTTTCATAATTTCATGCTTTGCTAATCTGAATGTTATATGAATTTGCTCACTATGTACCGCATCTGTACATCATAGTAAACAAAGCCATGTAACAACTGGTTGTAACCAGGCTGATAGATTCCAGACCAATTTGAAAGTACTAAAACAAAAATAATCATGAAATATATATAAATCCAAATATCATATTCTTGTAGCAGATGGATGTAGCACTATGTCATGGGTTAGTCCTGTTTTACTGTGTGGAGAACAAGCCTATATACCTGTATATGTTTACAGTATTCCTTTACAACATCATGACAAGAACAATCGTACCATCAATAGAGGTGATTACCAAGTCAACAGTAAACCAGGTCAATCATCGATGGATAGGGGAGATGGCCCTCCATTAAAGGAACAATTAGATTGTAAAAATGACAAGAAAATCAGTGTAAGTGATCAACAGTCACGCAACACAGGGATATTAATAAAATCTAAACAAGAAATCAATATAAAAAATTATCCTTTTGTTTTAACAAACACAGGGTAAAAAAATTCAAATTCTGAAATGTTCACTAAAATGAGAATATGTACAAACCTTTACTGCACACTGTCATTAACATCTACTAAAGGGAGACAAGTAGAAAACTGCTCTGATGAGCAACATTGAGCCTATAGATATTACAATGATGATGCTGCAAAATTGAAAACATTGACCTAAAGTTCGAGTTTATATGCAGCAAAAACCCATCATTATAAATGATACTGTATCATTACATGACCTGGTAGTATTTATGCTGTAAGTTTCTGCACAACAAAGAACACAATTCAACATCAAGATCATATTGAAGGTTACATCTAGAACTATCAACACTGTAATGATGATGAAAGTTTATGTACAACAATATTTAAGTTTGTATCAATGTTTAAGTTATGAACATGAAGTGACAGCTATGTAGTTTATTTATACTGCTTCTAATACACAAACAGGCCGCATCACACAAATGCTTCAAAATGACCAACAATATTCAGTCAAGGGTTGGGCATGCTCAATACAAAAGCACAACATGTCATCATACAGAACACACATCAAACAAGCATAGGAGTAAAAATAACAAACAAAGGCAAAGAGAAAAAGAGAGTGAAAAAAATGACAAGAAAATGAAGATAAAATATCTGTAATGTCTGCGTCCCCAGGTGGTATGTATTGGAAGTTGATGAGACCTGCTGTGTGGTGCGAGGACAAACCTACGGGAGCAGCCAATGAACAGACTGGAGGACTATCCAATCACTGCACTAGAAAGCCATCATGTCAATATTTAATTTGATCCCTAATAAACTTATTGAAACAAGGTGAAATCTGACAATAAACAGAAGATTAGTTTATTTTTTGAAAGTCCTCATTGGTGATGATATTCGAGGTAGTGGTATTAACGGACCGCCCTCATATCCAAGCTGTCCACTGGCTGGCTGGATTAGATGTTAGGGCACCAGATGACCACACACTGACCACTAATACAGTAAGAGAAGGGAGTGAAGCCTAGAGGTGTACAGCACACAAGAAACACACTGTGTCCACTAACAGTACCCAGACTGTGGTTGATGTGGCAAACTCTCATGTTGATATATACATATTAAGATATATAAACCCTTCTAAAGCTGATTCTCTCTCTAAGAAGCATGTTTTTTCATGTTGCACAACTAGCCACTACACTGTCAAGTTTGAAAATTTTCTGATGAAGCACAGCGTGTCTCAGTCTTTCAAACCTTGCGTCTCCAGTATATCCTAAATCTGGTACGATTATGTAGGGATCTTCTAGGGTCTTGTATCACACAGTTCCATAAGCAGAATTATACTTAAAGTCTGGTTTATGATAGTCAAAATGTCACAAGCCAAGAGTGTATCTGTCTGCTACTGAATAAGAATAAACCAAGATTTGTTTTCCCTTGTTGTCACATGATTCTAATGTTTCTTGTCACAAGCTTTGTCTGTTAGCATAATTTTTTTCCAGTCATGTTTTTAATGGTCGAATCAATAACTAGAAACTAGAATTACTCTGTCTAGAAATGAGTAGATAAATTCAGCAGTTTAAAGTCATTATCGCGGACCTAATCATAGAATTAATCTCTCATAATTTCAGCACCACTGTCATATTTCAATGTCACTACATTGTAGAAGTCAAGTTTTACAACCTTTTAAAAAGTATTCTTTTCTGTTTATGGCCAAACAGCAATTTCACATTTCTATATAAGTCAAATCAATGATGATATGTTTATCTGGTCAATACTTCTCTGTCTCAACACTAGCTTTACTACAACTAAACAGCTCTAAGGTAACAACTACTGACGGTCATCTACTGTCAACTGTCCTGGTAGCAAGACTTGTGTGACAAGTCTATGGGCATGACTACCACTGACTGTCCCTACAGCGTGTCTAGTCCTAGCGGCCACGTACCATTGTTGCTGTTTGTTTTACACAGTCGGTGGTTCATATGCTGACTGTAGGAGCCTGAGTGGGAGAAGCGCTTGCCACAGCGCCCACATCTGAACGGTTTCTCGCCGGTGTGCAGACGTTTGTGCTCAGTCATATGGTGTTTGTGCTTAAACGCCTTCCCACAGATGTCGCACGGGTAACGACGCGGACCTAAAAATAACGCCAGTAACACATCACATACAACAGTTTCCTCACCTATGATGCTACCAAAGTTTTACCAGTATCACCTTGAATTGAGGACTTCTGCAGTGCAGCACCTAGCGTATATACTTCCCAGTAGTACTCACTGAGAACAAAGAATCTCTTGTCCACGTTACCCTATACACAAAAATAGTCTGAAACTTAGAAATGGTTAGAGCTGTTCCATAGCCTTTCAATCATGTAGTTAAAATGTTGAGTCTGGTTTTCGCAATTCTAGACTAGATCATCAGCCTTGATACTCTACAGGTCTGGTCAAACCAGACATACTTCATCATGTGGATCAACCATTTTAACTTCATAAAGAAAAAGCTCCAAATTTCATTTTTTTTACCTTTAAGAATGTAGCATCATTTTAATTCTTTTTTCTCTCACTTTTGTACAATATTTCTTTTCATCTAAAAAGTGAACCAAACTCCTTTTCAAAATTTAAGACATATATCTATCAAATACATTCAGAAGGTATTAAATCCTTTGGATTATTTAGAAATTATGTCTTTTTTTTTAAAAGGCTTTTTTAAGTTTGCAGTGAAGGCTTAGTTTGTTATATTAAGAAAATATGGCAACGAATGCTCAGCAGGTGCTTTTACTTCTACAGCATGTGGAGATTTCTATACACAGGTTGTGGAGGGAGGCCCAATGAGATCAAGCTCTAAATCCTGTACGAAAGTTGGGTGAACCTTCTAAGTGGTTGGGTAAAAGGAACAGCTGGCCTATACAGTGGTCTGAGGGGAGTCAAATGGAAGGGCAAGACAAAAATATGGTGTAGGAAGTCCATCACAAAGCTGACCTACAGTAATGTTTGGGATGAAAATGTTGTGCGTCAACTAGGTATAGGCAATGCATGTGGTATTGGGTGTCTGTTAGGGACTGTGTGTGAGGAGGGTGAACACAGGGAGGGTACACACCTAAATTATCTACAGTTATCATGATTTATAGTTTCTTACACTATCATAACTCAGAACGAGACTAATGCAATGCATATCAATAACAATCACTTCACTGTCAAATATGTCAGAGAAATGACATTTAAATTCAGAATAAACAAAGGATGGTGTCGCTTTCCCTTTACAACTGTAAAATCATAAACATCTTATGATTAGAATATAATTTTTTGTCTTTTCCAATCATATTGTTAAACTGATTTAATCACAAAGGAAGTAACTTGAGATAGTCACTGTTTAGAGACTGTTCAACACACCACAAATTCATTACAAAAAACAGTCATATGCAGTCTTCCCATAAGGTGCCTCTGCTTTTATATTCAGAAAATGTCAAAATATCAGACACATCATTTTCTTCCGAAATAAAAAAATAATGAAAAATAGCAATGAACACCAGATTCACTGATCATGAACACTCATAATGAACAATACTTCTAGTTCAGCAGAGGTAGTCACTCATCTCTACAACTGAACTGACTACAACTTATCAAGCTATGGTGCAGAGTAATGTTCATGGTGTTGAAGTAGCAATGCAAACATGTTTTTCATCTAAAATATGACTTCTTACATCTCCAGACAAAAATTCCAACCTTCAACACTGAAAATAAGTAACATGTGGACAAATGGAGCAGCACCAGTGTAAGCATGTTTAGAATTATGAGAGGATAGAAATGATCTTATTTCTCATGAGGAAAATTACCTGGGAGACTAGGCGGTAATAAGGAGCAAAGCATCAGTGAACATTTGTTGTGGTGAGAATGGTCAGTCTGTTCTGGTCAGTCCATGACAAGAGAGGCTCTATTTTAGGTTCTGTCAAGTCATATCAGTGAGCATGATTATTTTTGTTTTTGGTTGTTTTTACTTTAAAAAGTATTTTCAATTTTAGCAAAGAAGATCTTTCCACTAGTCACAAGAACTTGAGGAATCTTTCCTAAACTTTGATCAGGTTCTGGCTCGTAATGATCCTTTAAACTTGTGTAGAAAGATGTTGATGGGCACTCTGGACAGGTAATTTTGTGGTTTGTGTCAGTTGGTAGTCATCTGTCGTTAACTGAAAAGTCATTACCAATATATATATACATATATAGCTGTCAAGTCATCAGGCCACTTCTAAGTAAAGCATTAGGAGTGTTGAGTTAGTTTCAGCAAAGCTCCAAATGTTCATTTAGTATGTAAACAAAAATCACTTTTAAAAAGCTTTCTTTTCAAATATCTTAAAAATTTTATATCCATGTTTCTTTAGTTTATAACTTAACACAAATAATGAAAATCAAAAATTAATCCAACCATTAATAAAAATTTTGAATGCGTATATACCTAACATACAAAAAAATTTACATTTTCACAATGGTATGTTAAAATCTAGTAACAGAATGTAATTTCTACTATCAATTATCGTATCCTTTCAGAACATCATCCTAAACAAAGTTTTGCTGATATTTCAACAAACTACAAACAAGTAGAATTAGATTACATTGAATCATTAGTGTTGTTACGTTGTAAAAGATGACACAAGATTGTCAGACCCATCACCTCTCAAAGAAAAGAGTAGTCAAGACGGCTTTATTTTCAAGCACAGTACTCAAAGAGATGATTAAAAGAAATAGTTGTCCACATCTACTGTGGGTTCTGTGAGACTTCAGTTAGTACAGAAGGATGATGAAGTATTGTGATGACACATTAGATGTTAGATCATGATACACTCGATATACAAACTCACTGTCCCTGCTTTATACCATCACTTACTCATTAAACTCTATAATCCATGTCACCTCTCCAAAATTAACAGAATCTTTCAAACACAGGCAGAAAAATGTTCATCCTCAAATGTAAATTAAAATCCTCATACTTAAAAATCAATCGAAAAAAAAATAATAAAAAAAACCCGTGTGAATTTGGTTTGTAAAATTAAGAAATAATAAATGATAACAAAGATACTTTTTAAAGTTCTATGATTCAATTAGCAAAAGGTGAGGGCGAAAAAGTCATTCAACATCCAGCTAAATGGCTTAATCATTTCTAATGAAGACTATGTAATAGGGATAATAATACAAATGGTTAAGATGCCTCAGAATAAAGAGAAATTACAGAGAACCAAAGGCAGAATAATGATATATGACCAGGTCACATTTTGCAATGTGTTTTTCACAAAAAAAATTTAAAGAAATAAGGGTAAATAAACAATTCCTAACGACCAAATACAGGGTATATGGAGTTGATATGTTTCTCAAGAAGGAGATGGGAAACTAACTAATGTAATCAGAAATTTATCTAACTTGCTTAACAAAATAAAATGGCTCAAATATGTTTTCACTGATCATGCCAAAACATGATTAAAAACTCAAGAAGGGTAACAATACTACAGCAATGACACAGGAACAAGTACAATCCCACCAAACAACACTGCAGCATTGACACAGGAACAAGTACAATCCCACCAAACAATACCGCAGCATTGACACAGGAACAAGTACAATCCCACTAAACAATCCCGCAGCATTGACATAGGAACAAGTACAATCCCACTAAACAATACTGCAGCATTGACACAGGAACAAGTACAATTCCACTAAACAATACTGCAGCATTGACACAGGAATAAGTATAATCCCACCAAACAATACTGCAGCATTGACACAGGAACAAGTACAATCCCACTAAACAATACTGCAGCATTGACACAGGAATAAGTACAATTCCACTAAACAATACTGCAGCATTGACACAGGAATAAGTACAATCCCACTAAACAATACTGCAGCATTGACACAGGAATAAGTACAATCCCACTAAACAATACTGCAGCATTGACACAGGAATAAGTACAATCCCACTAAACAATACTGCAGCATTGACACAGGAACAAGTACAATCCCACCGAACAATACTGCAGCATTGACACAGGAACAAGTACAATCCCACTAAACAATACTGCAGCATTGACACAGGAATGTGTACAATTCCACTAAACAATACTGCAGCATTGACACAGGAACAAGTACAATCCCACTAAACAATCACGCAGCATTGACACAGGAACAAGTACAATCCCACCGAACAAAACGGCAGCATTGATACAGGAATGTGTACAATCCCACCAAACAATACTGCAGCATTGACACAGGAACAAGTACAATCCCACCAAACAATACTGCAGCATTGACACAGGAACAAGTACAATCCCATCAAAAAAATCCCGCAGCATTGACACAGGAACAAGTACAATCCCACCAAACAATCCCGCAGCATTGACACAGGAACAAGTACAATCCCACCTAACAATACCGCAGCATTGACACAGGAACAAGTACAATCCCACCAAACAATCACGCAGCATTGACACAGGAACAAGTACAATCCCACTAAACAATACTGCAGCATTGACACAGGAACAAGTACAATCCCACCAAACAATACTGCAGCATTGACACAGGAACAAGTACAATCCCACCAAACAATACTGCAGCATTGACACAGGAACAAATAAAATCATATTGAAAGGTCCTGCAGCACCAATACTGAGGTAAGCACAATCCTGCAACACTGACAAAAGGATGAGTACAAACCCCCCAAATGACTTGACTGCTCTGACATAGGTACAAGTAAAAAGAGGTTAGAATATTAGTTCTGCTGAAGGTTCTCTTTTGTAAAAGTTACAGCGACTAGTATTGAGTCCTCTTGTTTTGAAGCTCTTGGTGGTATTTGCTCAAAAGACAAATAAATCTTTGTGTCATCACTAGAACAAACTCCTGTCAATCTCAGATATGATTAATGTTTTTTTTTTTAAATAAATGAAAAACAGCACAAGTTCAGTATTGTTACTTGGAATGTAAACACAAACTTAAGTACTTCATATTCTGTGTTCAGCACCTCCTGACCCCTCACTACAGACAACTAGGAACCATTTCAGAGGAGGAGACTGAATCCAGGTCTATTTTATTGTGGGTTTAACAGTGTGTGTGGTCAACGTAGGAGTGGTCAATGAACATAGTGGTAATACCTTGAAAACTACAGTGGTCAGTGTACTGTGGCTATGGACTCAGTGTCAGTAACTGTTATCAAAAATATATCTGTGTTGGATGATGGAAATGTACTATCAAATAAATATCAGTGTTGGTGGGTAGAACTGTACTATCAAATAAATATCAGTGTTGGAGGGAAGAACTGTACTATCAAATAAATATCAGTGTTGGTGGGTAGAACTGTACTATCAAATAAATATCAGTGTTGGAGGGTAGAACTGTACTATCAAATAAATATCAGTGTTGGTGGGTAGAACTGTACTATCAAATAAATATCAGTGTTGGTGAGTAAGATGGTACTAACAAATATCTATCAGAATTGATCAGCAGGACTGTAATATCAAATAAATATTGGGCTCTGGCAAACATTTGGAACAAGTAAATGCACAGAAAGTAAATGCTGTCACACTATCCTAACGAAAACTTGATGGTTTGTGTCAACCCATTGCAAAACCTGGATTATTCCACTCAATACAAAGCAAGGGTAAAGCATTCTTCAGGTACCAGTTATTGTTGTTCCATGTGATATCTTGTTGGACAGTTCAATAGCTATCAGATTTCTAGTAAAGTGACATTGATGATTCAGCAAAAGAAAAATTAAGGTCCTAGTTTTTAAACACTCCCATGGTTGTAATCCTTGGTGTGTTACATATAAAATGATAATTCTTTTTGTTTATTCCCATTTAGTGAGGACCTAGAAACTAGGACAGTCTGTGGTGCATGCTGTAGTTGTATCATTAAGACTTATCTCCCTTTAAAGAAATCTCCACATGCTGTAGTTCTGTGCTCTGTCAATATTGAACCACTGATGGCATGAAGTTGAAGTCAAAACCACACTCTAACCATTTCGAAAGTGTGCAAAATGTGTGTGGGTTTAAAGGGAAGGTGATCAAATAAAACTTACATAGGTTTCAATGTGAGGTAATTTGAACACAAAATAAAATATGGAACCAGAACAGAAAATAAATATAAAAAAGAATATCATAACAAGAGGAAAGAAACAAAAAATAACAAGGGTTAACAGAACAAAACTGAAATAGAAAAAATAAAACAAAAAAAAAAAAAACAAAAACAAAAAAAAAAAAAAAAAAAAAACAAAAAAAAAATAAATAAACAGAAGGAGCAAAGAGCAAGATCTTTAATATGATACAGGCCATCCCCATTAATATAATGCTGGTTATATACATAATATTAGTATTTTGTTAATGTGTGAGTGGTCAGTAGTATACACATGCGGTTAGAACTAATAACACCAGGCTATGTGTAGATTTAAAAAACCACTCTGATATCATTGTCCCGGGACTGCAATACAAACTCAGTAACACTGTTAATATTGACTTGTAGACAAGCTATCCTTGTCCCTACTAACAGGTAGTCAAAGTATCACTGACCCTACTGACAGGTAGACAAGCTTTGCTATCACTGACCCTACTGACAGGTAGACAAGCTCTGTTATCACTGATCCTACTGACAGGTAGACAAACTATCACTGACCCTACTGACAGGTAGACAAATTATCACTGTTATCACTGACCCTACTGACAGGTAGACAAACTATCACTGACCCTACCGACAGGTAGACAAGCTTTGTTATCACTGACCCTACTGACAGGTAGACAAACTATCACTGACCCTACCGACAGGTAGACAAGCTTTGTTATCACTGACCCTACTGATAGGTAGACAAACTATCACTGACCCTACTGACAGGTAGACAAGCTTTTTTTATCACTGACCCTACTGACAGGTAGGCAAGCTTTGTTATCACTGACCCTACTGACAGGAAGATTAACTATTGCTAACCATACAGGTAGACAAGCTTTGTTATCACTGACCCTACTGACAGGTAAACAAACATTCACTACTGACTCATATGACTAGTAGACAATTCTTTTATTGCTTATCTTACAGACAGGTAGACAATATCTGTTATTACTGACCCTACCCACAGGTAGACAAACTATCACTGACCCTACAAACAGGTAGACAAGCTTTGTTATCAATGACCCTACTGACAGGTAGACAAACTTTTGTACTACTAACACTACTGACTTTAAACAATCTCTACTATCGTGACTTCACTGATAGGTAGACAAACTTTTGTATCACTGATCCTACAGACAGATAGACAAACGATCACTGACCCTACAGACAGGTAGACAAACAATCATTGACCCTAATGACAGGTAGTCACACTCTGCTGTGGCTGACCGTACTGACAGGTAGACACTGTATCACTGTCCCGGGACTTAGTTTGGTGATACAAAGAGAGACAAATGTATTATAATGAAATTGGTTTTATATACAAGCTTTCCCATGGATATTTGGTAAATATATGTGCTACTGATTTTTATTTCATTAATTTCAGAAACCTATAAATTGTGTTCAGAATCACAATGAGGATATATGACATAAGTAAACTTACATAGGCATACCATGCTCCTTTTCAAGATTGAAGTTTAATTTCAGTCAATGATTACCCTTACCTTCTCTCAAAAACAGCAAGTTCAATTCATACAAACATATTTTACTTCTGACATGCAATTTTTGACACCCTTTATTTCCCTTGTGAAGTCAATACTAATTTTTGATCCATGTTGTAAAACAGGCCAAGGAGAATTCACCTTTGAAAATCTAGCTGATGTTGCAGTGACCTTTGACATCTCGAATTTGACCTTGCACTACGAGTTGAACCGAAGGAAACATTGATGTTGTTCCTATGTTATATATATAAATATATAAATGTACGAGCTGTCACTGCATGCATACATTATATTACAAGTGCACCATGCATGACCTTGATTTTTGCACACCATACACCTTTAGTTTAACTCATTTTTTTTGTGTATACATAACTGATGTTTAGACAATCCTTTTTGTTATCAAACATTGGTTTTATTTTCAAAAGGGCATAAAGGGTTTAATAAACACATGATCTACAGTAGTCTAAATAAAACTACTAAGTACCATTTTCTGACATACAAAGTCAACATGTATATGACAGAAACTAGGTAGATACTGAATGTTTTACCTCATTTAATAGAAAATATACTCTAGAGCTATGAACACATTGTCCACTAATCATGGCTAAATATACACTCAACATGCTGACCAGCCCTACACATGCACCTCATTGCCATCTCTTTTGCTCTGACACAGCATTTGTTGATATATTGTATGACAAGCACTGGACTAGTCTAACACCCTTACACACATCAATATACACATATCTATTAGGGATCTACAAACAAGGGTTTTACATATGCTGTGCACTGTCATTATTACTCATTGCTTCTATACATTACAAATGACAGGGTCTACTCCAGTATAAAGCTGTTATAGCCATAGGGGAACCCTCAAACCAAGCCCTGTCTCCATCAGATCTGTACCGCATGCCTCCATTCCTAAACATTGTACCTCAGACAAAACACCTATCATCCTCCCACATTAACCATACATACCAATGCCTTCCAGAGCTTAGGCTGAGATGCATCAATGCACTTTTTACCAAAGATCTTGTCCTAGCAGTTGTCTTTTAAAACCACACAAACTACATGCACAGTGACAACAGTAAATAAGATTCTTACCAGCTCCTCGTTCCCCAGCAGGACTGTCTTGTTTCTCTCCCTTGTCACTACGGTCCTTCTTTCTTCGTACCTTTGTGGGTTTTTCTGGTGTAGTCTCACCCTGTGACTCAGGACTGTCACCTTTTTCTGGGGTATGATCAGGAGAAGAGCCCTGAGACTCCGGGGAGTACAGTCCTTCATCTCCTGGGGCATCCAGCATCATACTCATAGGCATGCCATCTTGAGACAGGTCCTGCAAAGCATAATTAAACACTAACATCCCATAAAACAATATTTCACTTACCATGCTAATAACATTTGAAATATATGTCTTATTCTGCTCCTTGTTCTTTTTGTATACCATTCTTCAACAAGCTCTTGTCCTTACAGATAAAGATACACCTCCTCACCATTACAATTTAGTAAGCTCACAGACAATATGATACTTCATAAATATGTCCACACATTTACACTCTCACTTGTCTTCAAGTGAGAAAATCAGTGACAGCTACACAAGTCTCCAGTGCGTATTGTCTTTGTCATATTTACAATCTATGCACCATGTAGTTCAGGTAGGTTCAAAACAATGTTGACAGTCCTTCAGACCACCCAAACTACACACCACATATTTTATTTCACACATCATTGGATGCTGTCTGAAATTTTAACATACTTTCTTGTTGCAACCATGAAGGTAAGATAAGGTAATTGTTTTCATCAAATTTCTTCACCACTGAACTTCGTAAGTTACATGAAAATCTGGTTCTTTCAGTAACAGGCCTTTAAAAGAGATGTCCAACCTTAAAATTTCATTTTTAAAGATATTTAACACTACTGCTTACTATTGAATGGATTCAAACTGATCTTAAGGAAGACCTAGCCTAATTCCCATGAGTTTTATAAATAAAACAGCAGAGGCTCATTTAAATGTTTTCTATCTCTTATATCTGAAAGATTCCTCTTATTTAAACAGATGATAATTAAAATTATAGTATATCTTCAATCCTGCAGTTTTACATTCAAACTTTTGGTTTCCAAAGCTATGACACTAGGTCTCCAGCATGTATTTACACACAAGATGTAAGTTGTTTTACTGACTTCTGTTTTTTGGGAATCAGGACTATCCAATTCTCGTCTGTTGACCCCCAAGTCCTCCAGGGTACTGCCTTCCTCTAAGCCAGGTCCATCCTACAAACAACAAACATTCCATACAATGTATGGTCTTTGTCCTCAGAAACCATTACAAAACATGTTCAGTGATTTAGTTTCTGAAATACTCATTCTAAACGAAGATTTATGAAACAAAGCTTTTATCAAAATCTGTGTTAAAATCAATCTATTACAATGTGCATTGAGATTTGAACCTTTCTATGACTGAACTTGTTATCAACTCAAATAATGAAATGAGTTTTCATACTAAGGGGTGGATACTTAATGATTTTATCAAATTTTTTCTTCATTGTTTCTAAATTTACCTCCAGAAAAAAAGTTAATATAATTTTATGGCTATAAACCCACTGAGAGTTCCTTCTGATTCTGTTGCTGATAAATTTCAATTTGTGAAAGCTTGAATTCAAAAATTTTAGGAAGGATTTATCTAAGTGATCTTTGAGGTTTAGGAAGGATTTATCTAAGTGATCTTTGAGGTTTAGGAAGGATTTATCTAAGTGATCTTTGAGGTTTAGGAAGGATTTATCTAAGTGATCTTTGAGGTTTAGGAAGGATTTATCTAAGTGATCTTTGAGGTTTAGGAAGGATTTATCTAAGTGATCTTTGAGGTAACAAAGGAAGGACAGTGATTATTTGGTTTGATATTGTTGATATATGTTACAATAGATGGTAGTTCTGAAACAACCACTTGTACACACCAGGGAATTACATGTGTCCAGGTCTGTATCTTTAGCAGGCTCAGCCAGGGTGGGTTTATCAATGACTGTCAGCTCTGTGGTTGTCGAATCCACAACAGCCTCCTAAAATATCAACAATTTCCACATCTAGATATTTTCCTTCAAAAGCTACTTACATGTTCTTCATCTGGGAGTAATTATTTACTTGATGAATTCAATGTTACAATATCTAATATGTACTATATAAAGATCACAAGCACCAATTAAAAACAAAAATTATCAACCTTTTGACCTTTAATTTATAGTCAAGCTATCCAAAAGAAAAATTTGACAGGTATTCACCACAATGAGTTCCTGGACATGACATTGTATAAAACATTTTAAAGTTTAAATTTTTTTGCTTAAATACTCGAAAATTTGAGCATGTGTCAAGATAAGTAGATATCCATAGACAATTTCTTTTCTTTCATCTTGATTACGAATTATCTTATCTAAATCCAGCCAATTTTTCTGTCCTACTTACACCAACATCCATTTGTTCAACACCAGTTTTCCCCTCACTTTTGATGACATTTTTGTTATCATCTGGCTGATTTTCACCTTCCTCCTTCATGGTTTCAGCCAGCTCTGCCGCCTTTTTCCTCTCCTCTTCTTGCTGCTGTAGGTATTGCTGGTGCCGTACTTTCAGGTCCTCCCGTGCCACAGCCACCATGTTATTGAACATCTCCTCTGTCACCTGGGGTTTATCCTCACATAACTGTAAAGTCAAAATTACACTTCAGGTTTTTTTTATATATAGATGTTGTCAAAAATTTTGATACCTGAAAATTATTGATCTCTTCATCAACCAAAAGGACAAATATTACACCTCATGGATTTGACATAGAGTTTATAATTAAGCATGGGTTATACCCTGTAACCTAATAAAAGGAACAAGCTATTTTATGTACATAGAAATAATTGTCTATCATTCAAGCGTGTCAGCAGTCCAATGTTACTACTTAGTACCCTATGATTATAACCAGCAGGATGTAAGGATCACCACAATTCCTCTATTCAAACATTCCCAATATCCCCCTAAAGAATACATACACAAGAACAAGAGGCCCAAGAGCCTACATGATCACCTGAGCTACAATGCTGTCATTCTTGTTAATAAAGTAGATAACTTGAACAACATTGTACATGTTACACAAATGTATACTGTGCTTAACATTTACTGCAGTCCTATGTTAAGGTTTCTAACTACCAATGCAGTAAAAAATTGTATTCAAAAATGTAATTTTCCTACATTAGCTCCATGTACAATGTTTAATAGATTCTATCATATCTGATTTCAGAGGATCTTTGAAATTTCGGTCAAATTTTTTCTGCACATATCATAAAACTGTTATCCTAAAGTGAAAATTCTAACCAAGTTTAAACTAATGCCAAAACGATGTAAAAAAACCATGCTCAAAAATGTAATTTTCCTTTATAAACTATGGTAAACTTTAACCCTTCCCCTGGGGGAAATGTGAGACTCTGGGGTCATGATTTACAATTTTTACGCACCTTTGGCCATGGAATATTTCTGCAAAATTTACTTGATATCAGTTCAGGGGGCTTCCAGAATAAGTAGAAAAAGTTTAAAGTTTAAAGTACCCAATGCAAGATGAAAGGCGATTGCAATAGGTAGGTCACCACAATACTTTGTCTCAGGGGACTTAAAAATTCACAACTTTTAATAATTTATATACCTTTTGAAGATCATCTTGAAACTGTTCACTGCCCTCTTGAAATTTTCTCTTTTTATTTTCATGCCTTTCTTCGATCTGCTGTAGTTCAGTTTCCAATTTTTTCTGGAACAAATTAAATTGTATTGTTTCATTCATCAATCCGGAAAACTGAAGATCACTTGCATTATATTTGCAATCGATGTATCAAAACAGATTTACTTTCCTAGACTGGTCCATAGTAAGTTGAAGTCTTTCTACCAATATTGCAACTGCTGTTTCGAAACAGGTTTTAAACGATACAACATCATCTAGCACTGGCAGCAGTGGTCAAAGACACCAAAACCACTTGTTTTATATTTGTAACGTACCATCATTTGAAGAGCATTTTTGAACTTTTAATTATATCTATAATCCACATACCTGATGCATTGTGAGAGATTGGACTTGACGCTTCAACACTCCCATACGTGTTGTCGTAACAACTGTCCGTACATCAGGCACAACTGTTTCACTAAATATCTCGTTAATGAGTCTATGATTGCGAACATAGCGTGAGTGTGCTATGTGTTTAATAAGAAAGCCATCATCAGCATCTGCAGACAAAACCAATCATTAGTAGAATGGAAGATGAACATTCTAAACTCCTTAGCTGGCAAATAATAAAGCAGGAAACTTAATGGTAACATACAGACTTTAGTATGTCATAAAATTCATAACACCAATACTTCATACAGATATATCCACATAACCAGTCTTAACACATACCATCATCATCATCTGCCTGCTGGATGCTTATCCTCCCCTGTGTATCCATTTTAGAATTCTGTAATATAAAAGAAAACTACAAAATATTTGAAAAATACACATGTCCCTGACCATATTCTGATGAAGATATGACTAAAAGGCAATCTTTAAGCAGAGAATGACATTTGAAACAAAATTAAATAGAAGTCAGAGATGAATAAATTTCCTATTGGCTGAAGTTGGAGTTATCCTTTCTTAAGTCTGATAGATTTACACATTATGCTGATTACAAGGTAATTTCCCAAGTTTATCTTTAACCTTGATTCTTTGTCAAATTGTTATATCTATACTTAAATCTAATTTGTATTTTTTGAAATACTTTGATGTGAATGTTTCAGATAGTTCATGCTTTATGTTCTTTGTTCTTTTTTTTTGCCTTTCTTTTTTTAGTGTTGTTTTTAGGAATTAATATTGCTCTGATGGATTTGGAGGTGAAGCCAATTTCTGAGGATTGATCTATTGTGTGCTTGTGGAATAATAGCCATGCAGACTAATCATTACATCAAATTGCTTGGAAGGTACAAATAAATATTTTTTTGCAAATGAAATCAATGGAGAACAATGAGAATCATGTAGCAATTACCTGTTGACCTCTCGGGGTCCTTTGGGGAATTTGTTGCTGCTCTTCATCATCCATTGATGTATCGGCAACAACTGCAGCAGCAGCAGCGGCAGCTTGGAAAAGAAATTAAAAGTTTCTGACAATATCAACACAAAAGGAAATACTGACATGTTAAAGAGTTTTGGCCACAACATTTTATAATTTGATACTTAAGTCTAAAATATTACAATAATGTATGTAGTAGTAACATTAATTCAATAAATGTTGATCAATTCAAATAAGCAATGTCGCAATCTCAAATACGAACCAGGTCAGATCAGACCCTTAGTGCACATCAATCTAGCAAACTTCATCCTCTGATTATAAATATCAGTACAGAATAAGCTTGGCCCATGTTATTACTGCCACGAAGAAGTCTATTATAGATTAGAATTAGCTAAAGTTACCTTTTCCTTTGCCCTTTGCTGCTACCCAGGCCTGATAAGCTGGAGAATTGTGGTAGGCCTTCATCAGTTCACTGTACTGGACCTGCAATATTTTATAGTTTGCATCACAGAAAAGCTACAATTTTTGACTTCAGACTTAATAACAGCCATTTGAGTGAAAAGTCTCACGACTTAGTATAAAACATTAAAAAAAAAACCCAATTGTCTACCTGTATCTTGACTAATCTTTACCCCATCCCCTTTTTTCCTCAGAGATATAATCTCAACAGCTTGACAATGGTCATACAAAACAATACAACAGTACAACATGCAAACTGAATTTGAGTTTATCAAGGTTACATATGTGTACTTCCTATCAAATAATGATAACACAATGCAAACATGTCTCTTTCTAGGTGCTTTAGTACTTTTTTTAATATAATGAATTTACTTTCAGCAGCATACTCTTCATTTCTTAAACTGCGAATAGAAATGATATTCAACCAGGGAACAGAAGTACAAAATTTAAAAACAAGTATACTGTATATATAAATATATATAAAGCAGGCATAAAAACGACATATTCATTCAACAACAATATACCTTTTCTGCCTCATACTCATCCATGAACTCCTGCTTGTCAGCTTCAGGTAAATCACGCCACATCTGACCAATAATTTTGCCAATTTCCCAAAGTTTCAGGTCTGGGTTAGCTCCTTTGACTTGGTCCCAAACCTTGGATTATATCAAAAATATTCATCTCTTTGTTTTTCCCTATCATACTACTACTATTTTCTATTCTCCGCAATAGAAAATTTTAGATATTCCAAATAAATGCCTTGTAACAGAAAATTTTACTATTTTGAAAATAGAATATTAGTATGCAACATTCAAAACTATAATGAAAGACTTACATTTTCTGAACAAATATATTTGATTATTGTATAAAAATTGTTGTCTTTGAAAAAGCCAAATAAAGCTTCCTATGATAAAAGATCTGTGCAGTTCAAGTTTTTTCTAAACTCTTTAACACATTTGGAATTCCAGCATGTTCCTAAATAAAAGCACACAGGAATTATGAATTAAGTATAAAGCAGTGTGCACAACATATATACTACAAGTCCACTTCTTCACTCTCAATAATTATCAACTTTACACAGCGACACATTCTGTATGGGATGCACAACAAATGGAAGCAAGTTAACAGTCATTTCATCACATTAAATGGTACATGATTTACATTCTTGAAAATTTCAGGCAAATGTCATTCCCATTACATTGGAAAACTCTTCTTTTGATATCTGTTTTCTTATCAGCTTAAGTACAACAGATATGCTCCAAATTGTTTTTAAGATGGTTTTGCTGAAAAACTTATATGTTCATCTTTAGAAAGTGATGTTGGACTCAATAACATTCACAAAGGTGGGTTTTGAGTGAAGAAGCCATCTGTATGTAAGGAGGTTTCAGATGCTGCATGCTAACAATCTTACCTTCCTGCTGTACCTCATGTAGGGCATCAGAGGTTTATCTGGAGGTTTGGGTGGCTTTGGTACTTTGGAATCTCCCTACAACACAAATTTCATTTCAGTATTCCATATTATATACACATATCTCAAAAAAGAAATCAGAAGACAATCAAAAAACTTTTCCAGAATGTAAACAGACTTCAATAATAATTTCATTATTTTTTTTTTGTCAAGCATTTGAATAACAAGTTGAAATGATTCTGCCTCATGTTTGAAATTACAGCACAAAATCATATGTCAAAGATAGTGTTTGATTTATTTCATTTCTTCTATAACATATGTTTAATAGAAATTGTTTAGCTTTAATATTGTAAATCTCCTAAGAAGTTCATTTTAACTTATATCCAAAAATGAAATCCTGGACACAATGAACAGTGTAATATATAAATTCTGAATGATACATACTCCTCCTGCAGTCTTGCTGCTACTGAAGCTGACTTTGACGGGATTAAAGGACGGGTGTCCATGAGATGAGGACACAAAAGGACTAGCACTGGAGCTCTGCAACAGTTAATAATGTGTAAATCATTTGTCACTTGGGGTGGAAGAGTCATAGCTCTGATAGTGACTGATAAATAAACAGATAATGTGATACAGTCATGTCATATTATAACTGCAGTGATCACTAAAACTTCAGGTATCATATGTTGGTACATATATCAAAAACTGTTTTGAACAGGATTCAGTACCAGGATCAAGAGTAAAGACATCTACAACACCCTAGAACTTGCAGTTCTGATGATTACTTGACTATTATTTCATGAAATTTGATATCTGGAGTCTTGGGGTATTCAATGTATTCTAATGTGTATGTAACTGCAATAGTCCACAGCAGATAAAACATACAAGAATTAATATGTGATGTCTCTTGCTTTTTTCAAAAAAATTAATCTTGTATCACTCAGCTAAATTAGGTTCATCAGTCAGAATATAAGGTAGAAGTGGTTAGTAAAAATCAAATGGACAGGTTGGACAAAAGGACAAAAGTTAGAGTTGTGCAGATACAAAATATGTTGGTGCTCAGTGCATTTCTTCAACAGCATCAAGAATACTATACAAACTATACCTTGGACATGGCCATGCTGCTTACCGATTTGTCATAACTTGACCGAGATCGAGCTGAAAAATAGAACAAATTAAGTGTAGTAAACTACCTGAATTACAGCTGAGAAAATCAATACATTTCAGATGAGGATCATTCCTACAGCTATTTTGTGCATAAAAACTCAGAGAAAAACAAGATATACAGAAAGAGAACCAACACTCCTAAGGAATTAAAAAGCAATCTCACTGCTGGATGGATACCATGAGATATTCAGTAAGGATTCTCACAATGTGGTTCATATAAGTCTAGGAATAAAGATCCTCAACATCAAGTGCAGTTGTGTTTAATACTACATAATTTGTCCGCTATGCCATAATGAAAATAACTGCACTGGATGTTGAGGACATGTACTCCTTGACTTGGAAATTCAGTATAATGTATCAGGTGATAGCATCATCTTTTGTCCTGCCTCTCCATATAAACATAGCAGACTTATAGCCAGCTGCTCCTATCCTAGATTTTGTAAAAGTAAACAACAAGTACATACCTATCAGCAGAAATATCATAACAGAAGTATGTTTGACTATATTTTTGATTTTAAGTTTCAAAGAACTGAGTAGACTTCTTTTGATCTAACAGTAGATCTGCATCATGAAACTTACGAGTTACTGGAGGTGGGTGGGGGGAACCTCTGTACATCGGCAGTGCCATCTTGCCACAGGAAAGTATACCTGGAAAGTTTAATACTCAAATATTACTTAAATAGCATGTGTGTTTATCATTCAGCAACCAAAAAAGAAAAGGCCTTCATCGTATGAGCTAACAAAGAGTAATCACTGTGCCTACTGCATAGGGTAAGGTCACCTATACCATGCACAATGTGAAACAGGGTGGGCACAACCCCAATATGGGCATTACTCCCGCATTTGAGTGAAGTAACACAACTTCTTTAACTAACCAATGTTATCAAATTCCTGATCATTTAAAACAGAAACACATAAAAGTCCTTTGAAATACTGTAAAAGGAGCATGTGAGTGTGACATGTACCAAGTGTAGTTATGGTCTCTGTCACTTAACTGATGGAGCACGCTTTTTGGCTCGGCCATTAGAGCGGGTCAATTGACAAATCAGAGACCCTGTTTCATTCCTGGTCAGTGTACTCAGCAGGAATGTGCATTTTCCCTGTTCTTTCATATTGACACCCAACAAAATCCCATGGGTTGTGGTATTTGGAGTTTCCAGTTCAGATTTTGGAAATCACAAGAAAAATCAATGGTAGTAGTGTAAAAGGAGTGGGTCAGTGTGGCTTGTACATAGTGTTAGATATGGCCTCTGTCACAGCTGATGGAGCATGCTTATTGGATTCAATTCTGGCATTCAACTGGAATGTATATTTTGCCCCGATCTTACATAATATTTGCAAAAAATATGAATGTCATCTTTTTATCACTGCCTAGCAACCAATGTGACCCTACAATTATTTCTGTTATATTAGTGCTAAAATGACAATTAATATCTAGCTTTGGTTTCTCGGTGTGACCATGGGTGATATTTTTGTTCATTTGATTATCTCATATATGACCAATAATTTCTGGAAAAATGCAAATTTGCTGTTTCCGGCTATTCTTGATATCAATTTACTTCAAAGTATAGACATTCCCTGCAAATGTCATCGGTGAGCATGAATCTACCAGTGTTCTATATTTAGTCACACTACAAACAATGGAAGTGATTAAAGTTCATGATTTTCCAAAATCCCGGACGACTGTATTATTCATTTTTTGGTACAAGTTAAAAAAGATAATGTAAAATTCAGACGCTCTTTGGCAAATTGCAAATGTTTAAAAAATGAGATGTTTCCTTTTCAAATTACCCAGCAAAAGTAACAAATTTATCACTCAGATGCAGAACTATGACCCAAATACGGGGCTGTACAATACCCGGTCAGTGAAAAGCAAAAAGCGATTCATTGGAGCGAGACTACTCTCTTTTAACTCTTATTTTGCCGTAACGGCATAATATATTGCACGTCTAGAGTATTGCATCCAACAAAAAAATATTGTCTGATTTATTAATATAGCTACTTACCCCAATTTAAATGCTTAAAACTTTACGTTGATAAATAACGAGACTTCATAGTCGAGGGATTGAACAAAGCACCACCTTGTCGAATATGGCGTCGCTTTATTGTATGTCTAAAAGCGCAAAAAGACAATCCATATCTCAAAACATGACATACAACATTTAAACACTATTCTTACTAAATTGACTAAGTCTGAAATTACTATTGCTAACATTATTTAATCAGTAGATTTCAATTACAATGTAAACATTGATATTATATTTTACTATACAGTGTCTTGAACTCATTTTAATTTGAGGTAAGTGGTTGTTGGCATTATTTTCTCGTTCGGATATTAGTATTACCTATAATATCACCTTTTATTTTAAATATTTTGTCCAAGCATATATCTAATAACCTATTATACACAAATTTCAAATATATTGTCTTCTTGTCTTCTGCTGATTCTAAATGACAATTGAAGAATTAAAACGAATTTCATTTATTATCATCATTATTTTCAATGACATCTCGTTGCGTACGAGAGTATAAAAATGGCGGGTGTTCACAAACTTTGCATGGCAGAAGTCTGATAGGTCTAAAATGGAATGGTTTCGGAAGTAATCTGTTGAGGTATGGTAAAGTATGATACGACATGAAAACAAACAAATTGACACCAATGAATAATGTTATTGTTATTATTTATGATAGAATTTCAGATTGTCAAACTTCACAAATGAAAATAAACCCAATTTTGAAAAATTATGACTTTACATCTTGCCTCTGGTGTCTTCGAAATCTAATGTGACTGTTCTGTAGGACTGACTTTCAAGTGTTAACCTAATGGTTTTTATCGGATGTTATGTGACACTAAATGTCTTAACTTTAAAAAGGTGACTTCTTTTATTAATATTTTAGACCAGTTATATGTAGATTGTACCTGTAAATATTTCTGAATAGTGTATACTTGTGGGTCCTTATACTTGTATGTATACCTACATGGTCATGAATATAAATGAAATTAGACTCTCTTGACCAGTGCTCGAGCACTAGACATAGTTTTTTGTTGTTTTATTCTAAATATTTGTCAATGATTTCAATTATTGTTGTGTAAACTTCAAAGAGACATGTCACGAACATTTCCAGCTCTATTAGAATTACATTCAGTACAGTCGTTCAGTTACCGGCAGTTGGTCAAACGACATCAGTGTAATAGAGGATATCAACTGAAGTAAAATATCAAATATTTGAAATGTTGTTGTGATGACATTTGGTATAATGATATTCAAATCTCCTACACAAAAACCACAAAAAGTACTTTCTAAATGGATAATGTTGTAAAAATACACTAGATAAAAGGCAACATCTTTTGCACTAATCAGTGCTCAAAATCACAGATCAGCATGAGTTTCTAAGGGTAATTTTTGGACCAATATTTTGCCTTTTTCTGTATTTTGTAAAATGTGTCAAATCCACATTTGATACAATTCTTTTCTTTTAAATAAGATATGATTATGTCAGAGTGGGCAAAAAAATGAATATGCAAACTTTCTAGTAAACAAAGTTTATTTTAATAGCTGTCATGCACAGTCATCTGCTGGATTTAGATTACCATGGTCAGGGTTTTCCATAAGAGCCGGCCGCCGGCCAATTTGACCGGCTACCTTGATCATTTGGCCGCCTACACCAATCCAGTTCCATAATAATGTTCCGTACACGACTACACGTGCACGGCAGGCCAGCCTCCTACTTTCACTACTCAACCTACTACTAACAAAATGGAAAACCCTGATGGTAATTAGAGTTTTTCTTATCAGAAGTATAGAAGTGTCAATATACCCCAAAATTATTATGCATAGTATGCAGACAAATTAGTTGTTTTGTGGAATGAGAACCGAAAGTTTAAAAAGTGTTCAAGCACTGGTCATGTTAGTCTACCCTATAATATGAAGGCCACAATGCTCTTTGTCCTTTGATGAAAGTTTTTGCTCAATATGATAGTGAACAATGGCAACATCAATCATGAAAGCATCTGAGGTGAGTTGATGGGTAGTTACAATATACATTTGCATGTGTAACAGCTGTATAATTTCATATTATGTACATAAGAATAATTACAGTATATTTGCTATATTTGCAGGTTTCTTTTGTCAAGATTTAAGGAATTTTATTTATATGAAAAACAAGCTCTGAGGAGCTATTATTATATAGTTATAAAAACAGAATGATTTTTAAATCAAAAAGCATGTAAACAGAAGCAGGAGTTTATGCAACACACGCTCAAACTTAGCATTCATTGAAATGTACTCAAACACAGTTATAATTATTGTTCACATATGCATATAATCAGTATATAATACTTGGGGAGTCAGGGACAATTGCAGCTTCTTAAAAACAAGAATCTGCATGTAGCATATATAAGAATAACTTTGCCATACATCAACATTTAATTTATAGCTTGTTTGGTTGGACCACAGAATAAATAGGCAAACCTCTGAAGCTTATGAAGGTGAGGGGGTGTCCACCCACCTTTTTGTCCATCTATCCTGCAATCTTGTCTGTACTCTATCTTATATACTGCTTTTCATTGGAGCTGTCTTTCTATCCATCTGTCCTGCTGTCTTGACTGGGCTCTGTCTCCTATTACTTGTCACTGGCTGGGACTTCAAACTTTTAAATATGGGTTTACCTTGGAGAAGTGATGTGTAATGTATGAAAAGTAGGTCATTCTGACTTACATTTTGAACTTTGACCAATATCAAAGAAAAACAATTTCCTTTGGTTATACCTCACATACTACTGGCAACAAGTTGGTCACCCTGACCTACATTTTGACATTTGACAGACATCAGGAAAACCTTGTCTATTCTTGTGTCTCTTACACTATCACTACTAGTCATTGGAACTTATCTTTAGGATATGTTGTCAATTTGGTGAGGTGATGAGTCACACATAAAAGGAGGTTACTCTGACCACATTTTTACCTTAATCGATACATCAAAGAAAAAAGTTGGACTCTATTTCCCACACTATCTCTCCTTTAAAGAGAGGTATGGGTTCACCTTGGTGAGGCATTATGTCAATGGGGACCATAATTTGCTCAATAATCTTGTTTAAATTTCATTCATACAATATACCATTTTCTTTTATAAATTTTGTACTATGAATATAACTAATATATGGCTGTTATTAGATATCAAATATTGGTATAGTTATAGATATAAAACTTTCTTAAGAAAAGTGATCAATTCTGGGATTGAATTTGAGTCTGCAGTCCATACACAAATTTTGATGATTATTCTATGTGTTTCATAAGTGCTGAGGCTTCAATCCCTGGCTTTGCTATGGGGGAGGACGAGTTTAAAGTGCGATGTGTAAAGGCATCAGACTCTGGGGATGAAAATGATGTTACCAGAGCTATGATGGATGCTTACAAGGTAAAATTTTACAGAAGTGACATCTTTAACTGAAGCATTAATATCTATGTATACATGTATGTACAGAATTAGAAACAGCTCATGAAACTCTCTGTATAAAACATGTTTATCATGAACATGTATCAAAATTTCACCTTCTTAAAAAACATCATCACTATTCACTGCATTTTCATAGGGTTTTACCTTGATTTCCGAGTACTAGCATAAAGGTACTATTTGAAAACCTATTAACAATTATTTCATCATAATTATATGGAAGGTTACCTGATCCTGTAAAAAATCTTAAAGTTGTCATCCTAAGGTTTCAGGTCTTTGGTGTAAGGTTAATGATCTTGTATACCCTACAGTTTCAACTGAACATGAACAAACAATTGAAAACAGTTTTCTGTAGAAAGAAGGAATAGAGCTTTGAAAGTTAACTTTGTGTATGGTGGGATGAAAAAGCTGATCCATTTCATGTTGATTGTTAACAGAGTTTGAAGGAAGAAGGCTTTACACCTGTATGGATGACCCCAGGAGAGTGTCTAAATATCAAGAGGAAAGAAAAGAACTGTGTGTACCTATTTGACCCGTTTGAAGGACAAGCATTTGATCACATCAAGAGTCTATGCTGCAGGTTTGTTATGTGATTTTCTGGTTAATGATCACTATCTCATTCATATTTCTCTACCACTAAGCTGAGCTTAGCTGCCTATATTGTAGTGTCTTTATCTGTGACAAGATTGTGTGTTATTAAACTATTTCTTGTCAAGACACGACATAAAGTCACTAAGGGATAAGAAATGAAAATAAACGAAAATTGTTAAGACCTCGCCACATGTATGCCTCTATTAGGAATGCTAACCTCAAACCTAAAACCATGCTACATGTATGCTCACACTAGAATGCTTAGCTCATAGAAAAAATTTCATCAACTGAGAAGGAAATTTTAAGGAGTAAACTTATCTTTTGGGAATTTGGCCATATAGTTTGGAGGTATGTAGTGTTTGGACTTTAATGTGTCTTGCACTCAGCTTTTGGCATTTATTCAGGGGTACTGGTTTATTAAACCCTTTACTTAAAAGTGATGGTAAGCATTTGAAGGTTTTCATTTTTTAGGTTGAGCAACATTTATCTACATAAATTACAACATATGTGCAAAGAAAATTATCTGGAGCTCAAGTATTGATGAAAGTAAAATTTACAAGAATCTTTTAATATTCTTAGAATCCTTGGTCCACGCTGCATTCTTGAATCCTTGGAGTACAAGTTGGTAAGTTTACTGCTCTGATACTAATATGTATTACTTAATATAGATGGTAAAGACTTGAACAGCTCTAAATTACAGACTTTTTTACCGTAGGTCCTAATAAATAAATCAGATTTTGTTATCATTCATCCAGATTTTGAGTATTTACTGTTACAAATTTGCTTGTTGTTTTTTGTTGATTTTCATTTTACCTGATGTAATTTCAAATTTGAAACCAATTTGTAGGAGATTCCAAGAAAAGCTCGTCCTGTGTATAACTTGGCTATGAGGAATGTGGTTGCTTGCTGTACAAATCTGGACAAACAAACCAGGGTAAGGCCAAAGGTCAATAATGAACCAATGAACCAGGCTAAGGTCAGAGTTCTGTAACATGAAAAGGTAATTTCAATAACAAACCAGGGTCATTTCAATAATAAACAAAGGTGACGTCAAACAAACCAGTGTTAAGTCAATAACAAACCAGGGTTAGGTAAATTAACAAACCAGTGTTAAGTCAATAACAAACCAGTGTTAAGTCAATAACAAACCAGGTTTAAGTCAATAACAAACCAGTGTTAAGTCAATAACAAACCAGTGTTAAATCAATAACAATCCAGGGTTAGGTAAATTAACAAACCTGGGTAAGGTCAATAACAAACCTGGGTACCGTCAATGACAAACCAGGGTTAGGCCAATAACAAACCTGGGTACCGTCAATGACAAACCAGGGTGAGGCCAAAAACTAACCAGGGAAAAGCCAATAACAAACCAGGACAAGGCCATTAACAATCCAGGGTTAGGTAAATTAACAAACCAGGGTAAAGTCAATGACAAACCTGGGTAAGGCCAATAACAAACCAGGGTAAGGCCACTAACAAACCAAGATAATTTCAATAACAAACCAGGGCAAGGTCAATAACAAACCAGGGTAAGGCCAATAACAATCCAGGGTTAGGTCAATAACAAACCAGGGTTAGGCCAATAACAAACCAGGGTAAGGCCAATAACAAACCAGGGCAAGGTCAATAACAAACCAGGGTTAGGCCAATAACAAACCAGGACAAGGCCAATAACAAACCTGGGTAAGGCCAATAACAAACCAAGATAATTTCAATAACAAACCAGGGCAAGGTCAATAACAAACCAGGGTAAGGCCAATAACAATCCAGGGTTAGGTCAATAACAAACCAGGGTTAGGCCAATAACAAACCTGGGTACCGTCAATGACAAACCAGGGTGAGGCCAATAACTAACCAGGGAAAAGCCAATAACAAACCAGGATAATTTCAATAACAAACCAGGGCAAGGTCAATAACAAACCAGGGTAAGGCCAATAACAAACCAGGGCAAGGTCAATAACAAACCAGGGTAAGGCCAATAACAAACCAGGGCAAGGTCAATAACAAACCAGGGTTAGGCCAATAACAAACCAGGGCAAGGTCAATAACAAACCAGGGTAAGGCCAATAACAAACCAAGATAATTTCAATAACAAACCAGGGCAAGGTCAATAACAAACCAGGGTAAGGCCAATAACAAACCAGGGCAAGGTCAATAACAAACCAGGGTAAGGCCAATAACAAACCAGGGCAAGGTCAATAACAAACCAGGGTTAGGCCAATAACAAACCAGGGCAAGGTCAATAACAAACCTGGGTAAGGCCAATAACAAACCAGGGTAAGGCCAATAACAAACCAAGATAATTTCAATAACAAACCAGGGCAAGGTCAATAACAAACCAGGGTAAGGCCAATAACAATCCAGGGTTAGGTCAATAACAAACCAGGGCAAGGTCAATAACAAACCAGGGTGAGGTCCATATGCAGGATAAGACAAAACAAGCAATCTAGGTTTGTACATAATTCAGTCAAGTCTGATGGCTTACCAGGTAAATGAAGAACACAAAACAAATTTCACTCTGATGCTGTTGACTTTTTTTTTCTTTTTTATGAGTGATTTGTCTGTTTCAGGATGAGGTTCATGAAAAGATTGAATTGATGAGTGGGAGTGTGGGGAAAGATTTCACTGAAGCTGTGACTCACCTTATAGCAGGGGAGGTTGGAAGCAAGAAGTACCAGGTACCTATATTGACAAAGTGATAGTTTGATTGTGTATTGACTCAGGATTTTAAATGTTTTCTGTACTATATTTCATTGTGCAGTAATATGGATAATTAATATGTTGCCAGGTTTTTCAAAACACTAGAATTGGAAGGGTCATCTTGAATACGATTCAGCAGTTTGGAGGTTTCTTGAATACCATATTTTTCGGGTTATAAGCCCCAACAATATATAAGATGCAGAGCTGATTTTTTTGTTTTTTCAATTTGTTCCACATATAAGCCACACCCTTTCTTAGGAAGTGGTAACCGTTACATTGACCAAAGTTTGTTGATAAAACAGACAAAGTAGAGCAATTTAACAAGATCATCAGTGAAACGTTTCATAAAGTTTGGAGATGAATTATACTCAGATAATCATTTATTTTATTGATGTGTTTCAAAAAACATAAGAAAGGAAATATTGAACTTGTTTGGCTTAGGTGCTTTAACAGATTGTCTACGCACAGATATAGTGCCTGACATTACATACGGTGTACTAAACAATGTCTCCATCGCTGTCTGTACTGTTGAATATTAACGAAGGCCCTTACATGCTGTCAAAATTCTTATAGTCCCATATTAATTCTTTTTGTAAATTATAAGAAAGTCATTCATGTCGTAAACAAGCATGGCGGTCATTCTAGGATTTGACATATTACCCGATAAATCATTGATCCAAGGATGCAAAAGGCTATTGTAAACTTCTGCTATGGCTTCAATATCATCCTGTATACGATTGCAAATGATGATTCTAGACGATCTGTTTCAGTCACAAACATGTGACAGGCAGGTACTCATAAAAAAAACTCTGTACTGTCTCATACTAGTGAACTGCTACACTTCCTGTTGTTTTTTTTCAGTCGCTCCATTTTTTTATTTTTTTTTTTTTTTTTTTCGTCTACATGTAAGCCACATGTCCAACTCATGAGGAAAAAAGGTGTGCCTTATAGTCAATATAGATGCAAAACCATTATTGTGCTGAATTATCAAAAGAAAATTTGGATACACCAAAATAAGAGCATATTTATATCCTCAGGTGGCAGCCAGCCTTGGTAAGCAGATCATGTCAGCAGACTGGGTGACTAAGGTGTGGGAGCTTTCTCAGACAAGGTAAAAGGAACATTACATCTGCATGATAAAAAGAACATGAAATGTTTTGATAAGCTGTTTAATAACAATAAATTTATGATGGATGTAAACAAATGACATACCAAAGTCACCGATTTCTTTCACACTTTTTGGTATATCATGTTTCAAATGCTTTATTTTGCTATTCATGATTGTATGGTTTTAGGAATGCTGATCTAGAAATAACTTTGAATTCATGAATCATGAGCTATTAGAGACATGGACTCTCAAAGACTCCTATGTTGGTAACTGATACCTTCATATTAATTACAGTTTTCCTGATGAGAGTCATGTGACTAAACCTTAAAAGCCATATGATTCAGTCATGTGATGCACGTCCATACTGAATTGTATTTATCTGAGTACAGGCTAGTACATAAAAAAGAAACAAACATGATCACTCCATGTGCTTTTAAGTTTTAATAGTCAGGTAAGTGGTTTTCAAAATAAGATTCTAGGGTTTCACTAGGCCAGACACGTTTGTGAGTGTTTAACATTACACTTTGTAATGTAATCCTACTAGTTATGCAGTAGTTTTCCTATCAGTAACATCTTTGACTGATGTTTGTCTGTGTTTATTTTGTAATTCAGTAAAATTGATATTTGTCATGTTATATACTCTGTTGTAAACATTTTAGCATTCCAACACTAAATTAGCATCTGTGATTTATGAATAAAACTATTGCGGCACACATGATCAACCTTTGACCTGTAGCTGCAGATCTGACTGATTCTGTTTTGTGGAGTTCTACAGTCATCAATATTGGGATTTCATTTAAACACAGGGTTTTAAAGACGTTTGAATTCGAAAGTGATACATATCTAGCAGATTGTAATATATACCTAGCAGATTGTATGTGATTATATGATAAGGCATACGTAAATTCAATGGAAATGTCTATATAAACAAGGTTTGATAACAAAAGAATAACAAGGATGTCATTGTTAATCCATAAAAATAATAGCAAAGAGATTTGAATTCACGATTGACACTCCTCAAATATTAATGAAAAACAACCTTAGATGAAATATAGGTAAGTTGCAGTAGCATGTATACTGTGGAGGTTATTTCCTCTCATGTTCCTGTTTTTTAATCTACAGAATAGCTTAGATGTTCAACAGAGAACGTAATAGGAATCTAAAAATGAAAATAAGTTTATGTTACAGTGAAAAATATCATAAAACACAAATATGTTTTCCTGAAAATGCACACAGCAGATATCCTAATAACTTCTTAATAATTTCCAGAGAATCTTGAAAGATAAATATACTTTACAGTTTATGTAATGTCCTTCAATCTGAATAACAGGCGGTACATGACACTACACATATCATTTTAATTTCTTGATGCTATATGAACAGAGCTGTACATGGAATGGAAGCAACACTACAAGAGTATCGCTGTCCGATTTTCAAGGGGCTTGTTATCACAGTGTCTGGGCTGGACCCTAAGGAGCGCAATGACGTCAAGAAACTCATAAACTCTGAAGGTAAGGATGTTATCACAGAGACACCTAGCTGTAGTCCCCCATTACTCTGTTCTACTGAAATCTTAATGGTCTTCTTCTCCTCCAGATCATTGTATTCAACACATAACTTTGATAAGTTCAGTCTGAATATAATCTCTCAACATGATATCTGGCTTTTGACATCAAAAATAGATTGGTTAAGCCTGTCTATAAAGGTCGTTGAAGGGAGAACAAAAGTGACTTGTATAGAAAGGTAGCATTTATCAGGTTATAAGACTTGTCTATACATGTTTGATTTGACAATTATTGACAGTTTACTGGCAGACAGGAAGTTCTCCAAAGGAAGAACTTTTTTTCTGATCCTTCAGTATTTTTTCGTGAAGTAAATGTCTGATCGGATTACATGTATAAAAAGTTTGAAATTATTTTGAAATAATCTGTTGGTTGATTATTTTTAACAGGAGGGAAATATAGTGGTGAAATGAAGGTGAATGAATGTACTCACTTGATAATCAACAAACCCAAAGGTGAGATTTCTCGCAATATCCACATGAGTCAAGACCATAGCATTCACACTATTATTGAAGTCATATAACAAGTGGACAAAGTACAAGTTACTTTATAACTTGTTCACATAAATGCTTATATCAAGTGATGACTATACATAGCAGTTGATTTACTTCAACAACTAATTTGATGAGTATTTAGAAACAATAGATGTCAAAATAGAATCAGTCTTGTTAAGTTATATGTTAATATTGAGTATAAACCTTTTTATTGTATAAGTCATTCACTATATCATCTTATTGTAGTGCTTCATTGTAATGTAACATTTCAGAATCTGTTAATCCTGATTTTTCAAAATAGTGAGGTATAGGATAAAAAGTTTTCTTTTATCAGGTACAAAATATGAGTTTGCTAAAAAGTGGAAGCTCAACATTGTGAGAACTGAATGGTTGTATGATTCCATTGAGAAGAGCTTCTGTCAGGATTCAGAAAAATATAAAGTACTAGCAGTGGAGGATAAATCTCAGGCAAAAACTTCTACTCCAGAGAAGGATGTTCCCCACAGTAAGTAAAGGATGCAAATTACTCGCGTATGTTGATAAATGTTTAGCAAAGCTTTTACCTCATATAAGGATGTTCCCTAGATTAAGTATGGAATGCAAATTACTTGCGTAGGTTGATAAATGTTTAGCAAAGCTTTTACCTCATATAAGGATGTTCCCTAGATTAAGTATGGAATGCAAATTACTTGCGTAGGTTGATAAATGTTTAGCAAAGCTTTTACCTCATATAAGGATGTTCCCTAGATTAAGTATGGAATGCAAATTACTTGCGTAGGTTGATGAATGTTTAGCAAAGCTTTTACCTCATATAAGGATGTTCCCTAGATTAAGTATGGAATGCAAATTACTTGCGTAGGTTGATAAATGTTTAGCAAAGCTTTTACCTCATATAAGGATGTTCCCTAGATTAAGTATGGAATGCAAATTACTTGCGTAGGTTGATGAATGTTTAGCAAAGCTTTTACCTCATATAAGGATGTTCCCTAGATTAAGTATGGAATGCAAATTACTTGCGTAGGTTGATGAATGTTTAGCAAAGCTTTTACCTCATATAAGGATGTTCCCTAGATTAAGTATGGAATGCAAATTACTTGCGTAGGTTGATAAATGTTTAGCAAAGCTTTTACCTCATATAAGGATGTTCCCTAGATTAAGTATGGAATGCAAATTACTTGCGTAGGTTGATGAATGTTTAGCAAAGCTTTTACCTCATATAAGGATGTTCCCTAGATTAAGTATGGAATGCAAAGCACTCGCATAGGTTGATGAATGTTTAGCAAAGCTTTTACCTCATATAAGGATGTTCCCTAGATTAAGTATGGAATGCAAAGTACTCGCGTAGGTTGATGAATGTTTAGCAAAGCTTTTACCTCATATAAGGATGTTCCCTAGATTAAGTATGGAATGCAAAGTACTCGCATAGGTTGATGAATGTTTAGCAAAGCTTTTACCTCATATAAGGATGTTCCCTAGATTAAGTATGGAATGCAAAGTACTCGCGTAGGTTGATGAATGTTTAGCAAAGCTTTTACCTCATATAAGGATGTTCCCTAGATTAAGTATGGAATGCAAATTACTCGCGTAGGTTGATAAATGTTTAGCAAAGCTTTTACCTCATATAAGGATGTTCCCTAGATTAAGTATGGAATGCAAATTACTTGCGTAGGTTGATGAATGTTTAGCAAAGCTTTTACCTCATATAAGGATGTTCCCTAGATTAAGTATGGAATGCAAATTACTCGCGTAGGTTGATGAATGTTTAGCAAAGCTTTTACCTCATAGAAGGATGTTCCCTACAGTAAGTATGTAATACAAAATTCTTGCATAGAATGATCAATCTCTGCAAAAACTTCTACCCAGGGAATGGTGTTCCCCGAAGGAAGTACAGCCTGTTGAATGTTCCCACCAGAAAACACAGAAATATTATAATATTTAAAGTTAATATCAGTATGTTTTGACTGTAACCTGCCAGTGATAAGTGGTTAATCATAAACTGTTGGTAGATGAAATACCTAATTCATTGACAGCTCGGGCATCCACCATTGCCGATCTGAGCTGTATAGCCAACGTCTCGGTGATTAGCCACGTCAATGAAACTGCTGCCGTCACTACCAAACAAAAGTCCTTTGAGGAGACAGACATCACACTCAGTGGTATTGATCTAACTCAGCCTCCAGTTGACCTCCTGCTGGATGGATGTAAGGTAAGTCCTGAAAGAACCTTAAGTTGATCCAGTTTATCTTCCATCCCGGAAACTGAACCATAGACAGTAGTAACTTATTTCAGAGCACCAGTGTCAAGTAGATGGGATAGCCAAAGTAAAATTCATCAATCTAAACCTTTAGGTTAAGATTCTGAATTGTCTAGAATTTCACAATGTCTGGAGCTATGAATCCTGGAATTTTATCATTAGATTCAGTTTCTACAAACAAATCTAACCCCACAAAGCATATTTACCTACCCTTGTAAATACAAAGGTACCCCACCTCCCACAAATACATCTAACTACCTAACTTCATACATATTTGCTTAGCTCATCCTCTTACTACTGTTGGCATCATTGATTGATGAATTAGTGATGTGCAATTGACTTCAGCTGTTAAGCTGTATGTTGCTGTTCTTCCAGGTTTACTTGAGTGGATTTAGAGGACAGGCACTTGAGAAAGTCCGCAAGGTCATTAACGCTGGTGGGGGAACACGGTCAGTAATGTAGGGCAACATCTAGTTGTACCTATAACCAAGGAAGAAGAATATGGTCAGATTTATAGAGTAATTTCTAAATCGTAACATTTTGAGTGTCATGTTTAGTATTCTCTGGCAACATTGAATTTTATCATTAATACAGGCAGGAAACAATAGTCATGATAATTCTTGTATATTTATGAAGATTTTGCTTTTGTTATTGTCATTTATATTGTAATCCTTTCCCCTTTATAGATTTGTTTGCTTTGCAATTTTAGGAAGTGAACTGGATATTAAAAGTAATGATTAACTAGCTTCAAATACAACATACAAATTATAAAATTTAGGTGGATGATAGATGAAACTCTGTGATTTTACATCAAAAGTGGTACTTGTTGGTTGGAAAAACACATACATCTGCTCCTCTAGTAATATATCTACTACATGATACACACTATTGGTAAGATTTGTGATGTAAGGATAGAAATATGATGTGTCTCCTTGAAATGTTACTAATTACTCTGTCTTTGTGCAGCCTGAACCAGCTAAATGAGAATGTCACTCACGTGATTGTTGGAGAACGTGTGGATAAAGACATGGACTTTCTCAAATCAGCTGCATGTACATTTAGGTAAGGGCTTCAGATTTAAAAAAGGAAACTGTGTTTGACATTCCAACAAACTTATTGCCATTTTATGGTAGAAAATTCTGAAATGTCAACAAAATTGTAATCAAAACTCAAATTCAATAAGACTAGTGCAAAATATTAACCAAAGAAAGTTTATACTGATTCCTGAAAAAAATTACAAGGATAACAAGACCAGGTGCTCTGGAGGATTAAGCTTCTTGTGCTTCGTTGACAACACCCACAACAAAAACCAACTGGCGAACTTACGAGCGTCAAACACATCCAGCTTCATATTGCACAAAGAAAAAGAATATTTCTGAATGAGATAACCATAACGACCATAAAGCTTCCCCATAATTTTCATCATACTGCATCTTTCAAAACCTTGTGTTATGAGTTTGTTGGACTGTTGACGCGTTTAAATCTTTCCTTATCTTCTCAATAACCAAAAGTCTCCAAGTCAAGATATTTGAATAGTAGCACACTTTAAAAGAAATGTTTTCAGTGTATATTGGAATGAATATCCATGACCCTCTTTAAAGGCACAGGTATTCTGGTCTTATCCTCAAAGCTGCAGAAGTGGTGAATAATACAGGTCCATGAGGCATCTTGTTTGAAATTGACAACTTCAAAACACAGATAAAAAGACATTATCTATACATCTTTTTATATATAAATACCTATACCAATATTGTACAGGTATGTGGTGTAAATATCATTCTTTTCAAAAACATTTATATTGATCATGTACCTGTCTAGTCTTGAGACCAAGAATTTACAGGCTGTCACACCATATCTGTGGTGTTATTGTAAGATATTTATTTTAGAGCTAAATGCAATATGCTAATGCCTTAAGGTGTCATCCATTTTCCATTTTTCTGTTTCCTGCAAAATTGTCTTCAAGCAACTTCTTCAGATTCAGTTGACATAGGTTGAAGATATTTGCTTTGTAGCTTTTAAGATATATATAAACTCAACGAAGTGTTGGGAAAGGAATGACAGACTCAATGTATAGTTCACAAGAATCACCTTAAATATTGTAGATGAAACCCTCAAACAACCCTTAATAACAAAATGGCTTAGAATTAAGATATTTTGTTTATACTTTATTTTTCTAGGAAAGAGCCAGAAAAAGTTAAAAATGAATTACCTTGATCAAAAGGAGTCCTGTCCTATAAGATATAGCAATTTCTTCTTTTGATTAATTGAAAGGACTTAGATGCTGATAATAATCTTTACCCTGAAATTTACAGCCATTTAGCAATATAAAGTCTGTAACCTTTTTCTATTACAAATATTCAAGGTCACATGGATCAAATTTGCTTAAACATTTGATTTACAGATTGTGCTAACAAATATATGGTATAGGTTTTTCCTGATACTAAAAATGTACATCTCTGCACAATAAACCAAGCTATTTGTATGGTGTGTATGAATTGGGACATGTTTTGATGTGATTTTAGACCCTATGTTGTGGGAGCAGCCTGGCTAGCTGAGTGTTACAGACAGGGAAACACAGTGGATGAACAGCCCTTCATTTGTCTGGAGTATGAATCGGATATCTCGACATCACCTAAAATTATAGGGTAATCCTTGTCCTGTGATCATTCAAATAGTATTATGGTAGATTGTATTTACTGCAGTTTCTGCGGCATTGTAAAACAACTTTGATTGCTACCTTGATCTTTTGCCTGTAGAAAATTGTCAAAATATATAGGAGACAGATTAGAATTATTTCATAATCGACTCATCCTCAATACTCCAGGGGCTGTCTGAGTGAATTAGATTCTGGTTTTAATTGAATTACATTTGTCTGTAAAAAGTAACAAGCAGGAATGTTGAAATTTTTTTGTGACATTATATTTCAAGACTTTGAATCAAACTAAACAATCCAGATTCATGAAGTATTTATGTCAAAACTGAAGAGACAAATGATCTATATTAATTGTGTTAAATTTGTGGGGAAAAAAAGGTTTGGCAGTATCTATAAATCATAAACACCTTTTGCACAGTTTACAATTTGTCAAGGTTTGAAAGTTTTGACTCATGTAGGCTAAAGAAATTACAAACGTTGAGTCTAAGTGCATGTTTAGATTGACATTTTCTCAGAACTGGAAGCCAAGTTTGTCAGTATGGAGGTTAAACATTGCAGGAAGCCAACATCTAAAGAAGTGACAAATCCTGTAACAAAAGATGAAGTACCCGATGCTGGTAACGAGGACACAGATATGGAGGACATCATGAGTCAATACCTGCTTCAAGCTGATTCTGGTAGGCTATTCACTAGATACAGTAGTCACTTGGCTCAGAGGCATAGTGGTCACAGTATATAAAAGGTCATACCAGACACAGGCCTTAGAGGGTAACATTGACAGAATTAAGGACAATATATTATCAAATCACATGCATCAGTTAATTCAGCAATAAACACATTTATGCTTTTTCCAAACTGTAAATATGAACTAATTTTAGCCAATGATGACCAATCACTGCGCAAAATTAAAGAGTTTGTGAAGTTCCAACTGTCTAGTGGTTGTTGAGCTCGCATGCTCAATGTTAACTTGTGATATCTGAGGCATAAACGTAAATCACAGCCAAACATTTTCTACAAATTCAATATATATATTCTATAGATATATGCATAGCAAAAAACTGAAATCGAAAATGAAACATTAAAATTTAGATATTTGATGGCTCATTAGCCTTAAGCTTACTTATCACCTCATTTTGTTGTCAAAGCTTTTGATACTTTAATATAATATTTTTCATGAAACACAGCAATATGTTAGAAACCAGATGAAAAAAAAAAACTTTAGCCAATGATGACCAATCACTGCGCAAAATTAAAGAGTTTGTGAAGTTCCAACTGTCTAGTGGTTGTTGAGCTCACATACTCAATGTTAACTTGTGATATCTGAGGCATAAACGTAAATCACAGCCAAACATTTTCTACAAATTCTAAATGCTTGGACTATAAATAGCAAGTGATTGTTCATCGAGAGATTACCATATTACTTACATATTGAAATGTAGGTCTGAAAATCCAAAATAAGAAGCATTTCCAGGAATAAATTTGGTTGTCAGATTATGTACCACAGTCCTAATAACAAAATTATTTTACTGGTGTGTTATATAAAGTGTTAGCCAAAAAATGACCAATCACTCTTTGCAACATGTAAAGAGTTTAAAAAGATATGCTAGTGGTTGTTGAGCTCACATACTCAATGTTAACTTGTGATATCTGAGGCATAAACGTTAATAACAGCCAAATATTCTCCACAAATTCTAAATGCTTGGACTATAAATAGCAAGTGATTGTTCATCAAGAGATTACTTACGTATTGAAACGTAGGTCTGAAAACCCAAAATAAGAAGCATTTCCAGGAATAAATTTGGTTGTCAGATTATGTACCACAGTGCTCCTAATAACAAAATTATTTTACTGGTGTGTTATATAAAGTGTTAGGTCCAAAAAATAGAAATACTCTTTGAACATGTCAGATTAAAAAGATATGTTGGGTATAGAATTCTTTATTTAAATATACTGTAAAAATTGTTAATTCTAGGGGTTCTATAAGATACTGTAAAAATTGTTAATTCTAGGGGTTTTATAAGATACTGTAAAAATTGTTAATTCTAGGGGTTCTATAAGGTACTGTAAAGGTTGTTAATTCTAGGGGTTCTATAAGATACTGTAAAGGTCGTTAATTCTAGGGGTTCTGTAAAATACTTCAATGGTTAAGTTTGCGTTATTGATTTTAAGATACTGTCCATTTTTAACTTGAGAATGGAATGATATGTGAAAAAGAGATACATTGAAAATATAAATAAAGGAAGCAATAGTTGATTTCATGACTTCCACGAAAAAATATTTCCATTTTTCATTAAGCTTTTGATAAATTTTTTACAATTTGAACATAAAAAAAAACAACACAACAGGTTTTACTGACAGTTGTCAATATATGGAAAAGAAATCTTGTATTTGATATTACTATTTGAAATGAGAATAAAAAAGAAATACAAGGTCAGTAAAAACAATTGTTAGGATAACTGGGCCTAGGGAAGGATTGTTTAATTGTTTAAGATATCTATCTACCTCTTAGCTGTGTCCTTGTTTGATAGGGAAAGAGTCTGATGATGCCACAGTGTTAGACCGTGACCAGACCCAAGATCCCAATGCTACTACATCAGATGCAGCAGTACCCTCAAAGGAAGCAGACAAAGTTTTAAGGGAGAAGGACAAGACTAAAGAAGATGGGGATGTTACAGGTTTAAACACTTGCAAATACGTCTGTGGTTCCGAGATCATCTTCACATGTCTACAAATAAATTATATAATCAGCAGATCAGTTATTTTGCTAGAACACTTCTCAGAGGCATCAGTTATCTTTCAGGAATTGATTTGATGTTTAATGTTAATATTTTTTTAATGGTATTCCTATATGACCAACATTCTGTATCTCAAGATTTCTTTCAGTTTGATTTTGTTTCTCTCAGTTAAGATTTCAGTAGCATTTTTGAATGTGTGTTTTACAGAGGATGTAGAAATGGAAGGAAGTCCCAAACCTATTTTTCGTGGCAAGTCCTTCATGTTCTTTGGGTTTGAAGAAGATGCAGTTAAGGAGCTAAGCGAGTTCATAGTGGAGAGACGTGGTGAGTTTTGTGTTATATTTAGTGTTGCTAAATTTAGTTAGAATTAAGCTGCATAGAACGTCAGCTATTTGAACCTGTCATTTGGCTGTTGTTTCACTTTGAGCTTCTTACTAAGTTCCACTAATGTGATTAAGCTAAAACATGCCTGAAATAATCGTGAGATGATCCTGACCAAGTGTTGATGTTTTTCAAGTTGATCCTTAATCCAGTATGGCCACCATCTTGAAAAACATCTTCAGAAGTTCCACTGGTGCCATTGAGCTGAATGTAAAAGAAAGGAAGCTGACTGAATATTATAATTTTTCAACCTCTTCACATGTTCAATTTGGCAGCCATATTGTAACATATTACGCATTCATGGTTTCCCTGAACAAGACCTATTTTAAACTTCTTCTCAAGTTCTAATTGTGGGATTTCGCTGAAACTTGCCTGAAATGATGCTGTGATGGTCCTGAACTGCCTATGGGTCTCTTGTTTTATTTGTTCTTCCTGGGTTTTAGAAACTCCTAGTAAACATTAGTATAGTTATCCAATATAATCCTTGAATTGTTTTTGAAGAGACGAATACACTACATTCTGTAACTGTTACCGAAATTGTTGCAGTTCTATATGTACATTAAGTCTATCTCATCTTGAAGTAAAATGTTTGTTTGACAGGACGTGTGTTAGATCCAAAAGTTCGTCTGGTACCTGATTATGCAGTTGTTCCCCTCGACGGATTCCCTGTAGACAGGACAGCAAGTGAAGTAGTCACTAATGCTTGGCTGGTATGAAATATGAATCAGTATATATGACTTGATATGTCAGTATGTAGGATGTGATATGCCAGTAAATAGGACGTGATACATCAGTAGGATGTGATACATCAGTAAATAGGATGTGATACGTCGGTAAATAGGATGTGATATGTCAGTTAATAGGATGTGATACGTCAGTAAATAGGATGTGATATGTCAGTATGTAGGATGTGATACATCAGTAAATAGGATGTGATATGTCAGTAAATAGGATGTGATATGTAGGATGTGATACATCAGTAAATAGGATGTGATACATCAGTAAATAGAACGTGATACATACATCAGTAAATAGGATGTGATATGTCAGTTAATAGGATGTGATACGTCAGTAAATAGGATGTGATATGTAGGATGTGATACATCAGTAAATAGGATGTGATACATCAGTAAATAGGACGTGATACATCAGTAAATAGGACGTGATACATCAGTAAATAGAACGTGATACATACATCAGTAAATAGAATGTGATACGTCAGTAAATAGGATGTGATACATCAGTAAATAGGACGTGATACATCAGTAAATAGGACGTGATACATCAGTTAATAGAATGTGATACATACATCAGTAAATAGGATGTGATACATCAGTAGGATGTGATATGCCAGTAAATAGAATATACATCAACAGACAAATAGTCTGTATAGCAGTAGTTCATGGCTGTTAATTTACTCACATGTCAGCAGACTAGACATTAGGCTGTCAAGTTAAAAGCAGCTTCAGATATAGTATATCAGGAAACATGTGTAATTGATGAAATATTGGTGATGGCAGGATCCAACATATATTTTCTGTTGAGACACACAAACTGTTATTACTGTAAGTGCTATAGATATCAGCATAACTTGTCAGCCAAACTTCAGTACTATAAATTTCATGATGATAATACTTGGGCAAAATGATCAAAAAAATTTGCATTGATTTAAAATTTCGTAACAGGTTTTTCCTCATTCTTATTGGATGTTAGGTTTTAGAAATTTATGTTTTGGTTTTGCCAATATTAAAGATAAACAAAATATGTGGGATTCAACAGAAACTTAGTGCAGTGTCTAGATATACTTACTCTTTTCTTTCCCAGCAAATCTGCCTGGAGCATGACACTCTGATGACTGATGCTAATGAGCTGTATCATCCTCTAGATCTTAATCTGGATCCTCAACAGTTAACAGGCTGTGTTCTCTCTATCAGGTACCATGGTTTACCTCAAATAAGTCCCCTCCTCCCAACATATGACAGTGAGTTTGTATAATGTGGTAGTAACATGGTATGATGTGGTAGTAACATGGTATGATGTGATGGTAACATGGTATAATGTGGTAGTAACATGGTATGATGTGATAGTAACATGGTATGATGTGATAGTAACATGGTATGATGTGATAGTAACATGGTATGATGTGATAGTAACATGGTTTGATGTGGTTGTAACATGGTATGATGTGATAGTAATATGGTATGATGTAGTAACATGGTATGATGTGGTAGTAACATGGTATGATGTAGTAACATGGTATGATGTGGTAGATGTGGTAGTAACATGGTATGATGTAATAGTAACATGGTATGATGTGATGGTAACATGGTATGATGTGGTAGTAACATGGTATGATGTAATAGTAACATGGTATGATGTGATGGTAACATGGTATGATGTGGTTTTAACATGGTTTGATGTGGTAGTAACATGGTTTGATGTGGTAGTAACATGGTTTGATGTGGTTGGAACAAGGTTTGATGTGGTAGTAACATGGTATGATGTGGTAGATGTGGTAGTAACATGGTATGATGTGGTAGTAACATGGTATGATGTGGTAGTAACATTGTATGGTGTGATAGTAACATGGTATGATGTGGTAGATGTGGTAGTAACATGGTATGATGTGGTAGTAACATGGTATGATGTGGTAGTAACATTGTATGGTGTGATAGTAACATGGTATGATGTGATAGTAACATGGTATGATGTGATAGTAACATGGTATGATGTGATAGTAACATGGTATGATGTGATAGTAACATGGTATGATGTGATAGTAACATGGTATGATGTGGTAGTAACATGGTATGATGTAATAGTAACATGGTTTTCAACAAAGTTTGTTTTCCATGCTCATGTTTTGACTTTCCATTCACATGTGTGTGTTTTTCCCTTTAACAGTGGCTATTCTGGGACGGAAAGAGATTGCCTGATGCACATTGCTGAACTCTTGGGTGCTAAGTAAGTTTACTCCCAAGAAATATATAATGCTAGATAATGTTGCTATGGGTTGCCTTTTATCAAAAAGAGAGCCTGTTATCAATCCTTGTCACATTGTAGTGTTGTAATATTCAGGTCTACATCATGGTTTAACTCTATCCTGTTTTCAGGTGCCAAGACTACTTTGTGAGGAAGGCCAGTAAAGGACTACAGCCAAGTACTCACCTCATTGTACGTGAGGCTGAGGGATCTAAGTATGAGGCTGCCAAGAAATGGAATATCCCTGCTGTGTCCAACAGGTACATGTAGCAGTCACTTCTGTCTCAAACTTGTTTTTTTTTTAAATTTTATTATCTACTTATTATGATTTAGAATGAAAATTAATGCTACCCTTTTACAGGGTTGTTGCAAAATGTCCGGAAATATTTTGTAATTGATCAGATATTTGTTTGATAGAATGTTTTTAATACCTGTATTTGTTTTTTACGGTTGTTTAATTGTAACATGAAATAATTTGGAGTGTTCTCCAGTTATTTAGTATCTGGAGATTATTTTACTATAATATTAAAAAGTTACTACAAATGAATAGGACCATTTTCCAGTGAAAATCTGTTGATATAACATACCACAAAGTGTTCTTTTGTTAATATTTCAGTTGGCTTTTTGCTTGCGCTAAGTCTGGAAAAAAAGAAAAAGAAGAAAAATTTCATATTGACAACAAAAGCATTACCTCAGTTGAGATGGACAAATCAGAAACTGCATTAAGGACAGTAGAAGTTGAAATGGCAGACAATCATAGGAAGCCTGAGGTGACATCATTGGGGACAGGGGAAGTTAGAAACCAGAACAACATAACAGATATTCAGGAGGCTGTTTCAATAAAAGACAATTCAGAGATTGAATCAAAAGAGGAATCAAAGAGCCGTAAAAGTCTAAAACGCACCAGCTCAACCCTGGACTGTCCAGGAGTCAGTGAGGAGAACAGCAGACCCTCGAAAGTGGCACGGATGCTGGAAAATGTACAAGAAAGTAGTAGACAGGCAGATGTAGGTACAGTAGAGTCGACCTCACGTCCTGTAGACAAGCCTTATCAGGGCAGCCAGAAGGAAAACCTTAGCCGAGTAAACAGGGGTGCTGTAAACGAGAGAGTCAAGGTGAGGGCATAACAGAATGGCTTTAAATGGATTGCACCAACGAAGTTAGGCCTACTTATCTTAATTGTTTAATTACTCAAGAGGAGAAACATTATACACAAGTTGGGTAACAGATTGATATCACAGATAAATTTCCACTTAAATATATTTATACTAGCAAAGAAGTGTAAATGTCAATTTATGTTTAAATCAACATCACAGTAATACTATTTTTTTATTGCATATATATATCAAGTTTATCACCTTATGAAAAATTGTTGGTTTTCGCTACAATATGTACATAATGAGGTTAGTTCATAATTATGATAAGGAAATCAACAGTCTTGATTTGTAAATTTTTGTGTCATATATGATAACACATGTACAATAAACACCCTTGCTTATGAACAAAATGGTTTCCCAGCTGAATCGGCTGCGATACATTAAAACACACATAAGTTGAAGTTGATGAGACCAACTGAAACATTTTACTTATCCGATGATTCAACTTCGCTGTGTTTCTACACTGCTTTGAAAATCGACCTTATTTTCTTCATTGTTTATCAGATGTGTAGTAATAATGTGGTATTAACAGCAGAATAAAGAAATCTCTTCAAGTGCCTTGTGAGTTTTTCCTGTCAGACAAACTAGAGTTACACTAGAATAGGTTGTACTGTGCCTTTGACAGATACCTACATATTAACATAAGTAATCAACACCAAAAAATAGACATCATTAATACTTTCAAGCTTTACAGAATGCTTTGATGGCATAATCCCTTAACTTTGGTTGTTTTAAGGCCCTGCAGGCAGAGGTGGATACAACCCCCCAGGGTGGTTCCAGGTTCCGTACAGGACTCCAAACTCCATCTCCTGGCCGTTTTCTGGACCTGAGTAAAGACTTCCACCCTGTATTTGATTTAACTGTAAGTAAAAGCTGAAATGTCCACATTTGCCAATTGAAACATGTAAGTCATGTCTGGTATTTTCAGTGCATGAAATTTACTTTCTTTACTTCAACATCTCTTGAGCTATAAGCTTAAGATATAAAAATGGAATTGAGTGATGTGAGCTATGAATCAATTGGTGTTGTAGGATGCTTTGGCCTCCCTGGAGACTCCAGAAGGACATCGCAAAGTTAACAGGCGGAAAACTAGCTTGGTAAGTTTTTGTGGGAAATAAATCTTAATTGAAACATCTTTTCTGCTATTAAATATGGTAAATACCTGATTACCCTTGCTGAAAGGACTTCTATTGTTACCTATGACAAGTAGAACTGTAGGACTATTTAATAAGGTATCAGTCCTTTCTTGAATATAGACAGAAGTCACTAAACTTGTTAATGCTGTTGCTGAATACTTACTACTTGTCATTTTATTCAGCCCTTGGATGAGCTGTACACGATACAAATAGAGAAAGGCTTGAAAAATATGGAGGAAACCCAGCCCGACGTTGAGAATACTCCAGTAAAGGTCAGTAATCTCACCAAACTCTCAAATGTTTGAAGATTAAGCAGTGCCTGCCTGATTTGTAAGTGGCAAGATAAAGAAAATAACAAATACAGAAACTAATAAGTGACTTTAATGAATATTTGTCTCCCGGGCCTTTCATGTATTCCTTACAAAATTTAGGATAAAGCAAGATGTTTTATGATAAGAAAATTCTCTGATTTTCATAAAATTTTGAAGACAAAGGTGGACGAAGAGGTTGCTCCCCTTCATGGTGTCATCGCTGTTGTCAACAAGAAGCTGTCTTCTCAACAATCAGAATTCAACAATATAGTGTCGGATCTTGGAGGAGATTACCGCTGGTCATATGATAACTCCTGTACTCATTACATATTCCAGGTAAAAAGAGCAAAGTATCAAATATTCTATACTAACGATCTATTGCAAGGTAAAGGGAGACAATTCATCAAAAATTTGATACTACCATTGTATCACAGGTAAAGGGAGATAATTTAACAAATTTTTGTTAATTTGAAGTATGGGAAAACAATTTTTCACAAAAGATGGATTTTAACATCTTCACAATCTCTGTTCGACCAAATATATCAAGTAAAGGTATATGAATCATTTGAAATGAAAACAGAAAGAATTAAATTCAGATTAGTTTACAGTTTATAAGAATCACTAAAAATTTGACCAATCAAAAATTTGAAAGATATATGCTTACATATTCATCTTGGTGTTCTCCAGACAAATATACTCCTTTGTATTGGTTTCTATCACAGGGACGTGCGAATGATACAACAAAAGAGTTCCGATTGGCACGTGATCAGGGCAAGATAATTGTCTCTCCACACTGGCTACACATGGTACGAGCACTACAAGAATTTCATTTTTCCTTTCATTCACTTGTCATAGATACTTCTGAATTAGAACTGCTTTTCAAGTTTTATATGCCCTCACTATTTAATGGCAAGAGGGACTGAGGAAGGGTGTGCCTATAGTATTGTTAACATTTTTCTGCCTTCTCTTATCCCATTCTGAATCAATGTTATATCTTGAGAACCTCTCCACAGATTTGATTCACATTTACTCCATAGCATCATAACATCGAGTTCTACACCTGATCAGACTCTGATTTGCATTGGACAAATTTTCAAGTATTAAATTTGCTTATTTTCTACCAAGCAAATGTTGAAGAATTTCAGCAAGCCCATTGCTGTATAAAAATCTTTGATATGAATATGTCTACATCATTTGTTGTTTTCTATGACTATTCATTGTTTATATTTTATGGCTTGCTACTTCTGTAATGCATAGCTGTTGTCACATGTTGAAATCCGAGGAATTTTATATTTGCCATTTTGAAGATATGTTGAGACCATGTATTATTTTGAAGAATAATTGATTGTAAGATTTCTGTTTCAGTGTAAGGAACAAATGGCCAGGGTGGATGAGACACTCTTCCCACACACCTTCAACCCTAATCTGTCTTTGGTAAGTGAAACTCAGATCTTGAAATTTGACCCTTTAATCACCAACGTCATGCCATGTTTGTCTGTCATTGTGAAATTGATGCCCAAATTTGACCATTCTGCTATAAACTATGCTTGATAACGTTTCAGTTATGCTTCATTATTGCAAAATCATTCTTCATAGTTTCAATAATTTTATCTCCTTAGTGCAACAAACTTCAAAAGTAGGGTTATCCAGGATTTCCTTGACTTCTAAACTTACTGTGCACTTCATTTCACAAACTCCATACTGAAACCTTTGTGACTGTTATTTGTTTATAGTCTGTGGTTAGCAGTAAACGGACTGAGACACCTGGTCGTGCCAGCCGCCGGTCAGGACGAGCCTTGTCAAAGAAGGGAGAGGATGTGACCTCAAATTCCAGTTCTGCTGCATCTACATCACATTCCAAGCAGCCGATGCCACCTCCAAATACACAACAGATTTTGAGTTCTGAATCAGAATTGCCAAAATCTGTGGACAACCAGTCTAGTACCAAACAAGAAATTTCACCAATTAGGTCTGCATCTTCTTCTCCACCTCTCAAGACTAACCCAGACACATCACCAAAGGAGGGAGGACAGAGGTCAGATGAGGAAGCTATGGAACAAGAAGGTGCCTCCACAGAAAAGGTAGGTATATTTTGCCTCTCCCCAAATAAGAATGAACATATTAACCAACCCCTGGTAACATTTTGTTTGACCATTCTTACTCATTGACTAGGAAAAGCCAATTTCAAAATTTGAATATTACCTTTGCTTGGTAACCATGGTAACCAGTTTTATAATAGCCATAATTACTGTAGCTTATTGGACTGGGTCACTGAATGTATGGGGACAAAATTTCCATTCCTTAGCTAAGATAGGATGATGCTGGGTGCAAATTTTAATGATAGAAATCAAAGCATGTTCATTTCTAGGTAAGTCTCAAAGATCAGGATAGAATCAAAAGCACATTTAATTTTATAATTTTAGGGTGAGTTTCAAGGTTATTTATTAATGATAAGGGTGTTTAAAGGTTTTGTCACAAATATCTGGATATTGTTAAAAACAGAAAGTGTTTAGAAAGTTTAACAGAAGAAATCTGTTGGGTAATGATCATGTCATATCTGTATTGTGATTACTAACAGGGATGTTAACAGTGGTAAATTTGTCTATAAAGCATTGAAGGATCTTATTTTATTACTTGTCTGTACCTTTAAGTACCAATATTAACTTATTACGGACTTCTGTATATTTGAAATTGATTATTAATCTGCAAGAAAGTTATATTTCAAGTGATTGTTATGATAGAAAACAAACTAGGTTAACTCATTTCTGTACTCATATTAAGATGAAAAAAGTGCTTGTTTTGTTGATACATCTTACGGAAATATCTTTATCGTGTGACTTTCACTCCTCGTTTTGGCGGTCTTCAGGAGGGACTGGAAATCGGTGGAACACTAGAACTCCGGGAAGTCCTTTCCAAACAGCTTGAGAAGATGATGGGTTCAAAGTAACTATGTTTTTTTAACTTTTCTAGAATTAACTGTTTGACAAAATGTTCTTTCTAATGGATTTATTTATCTATTTATATACTTAGTATTTTAACATATTATCCAGAGAAAAAGTGAAATATTCACAACAAATGATCTTAGGTAAAAGTCTCTTTGTTTTCCTAGATGTATGCTCACATAAACAGATACATAGGTTTCTGTATTGTACTGCAGTTTATCTAACTTCACCTCACTTTATTTTGTTGATTGACAGAGCAAAGAAAAATACCAGGAGAAAAAGCAAAAGGCTGAACTGTATGTATACACATGTCTTCATTGCTCAGATGGGTTCAAAAAATTAGAAACAATTGAAAAACAAACAGTACATACACATGTATACAAATGCAGTGCAGAATACTACTGCCTGATCAACTATGACCAGTGGTAAATGTAAACTTGATCAAAGGGATTTTTCCTTTATTTTTCTGCACTGAAGTTTGATTCAATTAATATATTGATGGATAGAACATTTTACACAGGTGTAATTCATTTGATTTAACAGCCAGTGGACAGATGAACATGTCGGGGGAGACTTCGGGGGAACTATCTGGAGAGGGCCGGGGCAGTAACCAGAGTCGTCCTTCTTCCCGTCAGAACCGCTGGAGTCTTCAAGGTATGGATTAATATCTAAACCATTGTTCTGACATATTCATGGCAAGAACATTTTTTATTGATGCCTTGCTTAGGAGAACTCTCCATTGTGATTCAGTGAGTGCTACCCACTGTATATTTGTAAAGCTCAAATTAATGAATAACAATTCATTAAGAACAGGAATACACACAGCATAATGTAAAAACCAAACAATAGGCAGTATAGAAAAGTAAGCATTGCAAAAACTGAATATTATCCTGTGAATCAGCATTTGAAAACTGGACACAGTTTTATTATAATTCATTCTGTGATGCTGAAAGATTAAGTGTGACATGCTTATTGATGTCTGTTATCTATTATCCTCAGATGAACAGGCAGGCCAGAGTGAGCGACGTAACAATAGACAAACATCTAGAGGTAAATACATTAATTTTTCAGTTTCTGTATCTAACATTATCTTTTGGTAATTTCAATGTCATGCTGCTTTTTCATCTTTTTGTATATTGTATGAACGAATATGAGATAGTGAATCGGTGATATCTGCCCTCCATAAGCCTGTGTAACTGCATGGTTATATATTCTTCTTTTTAGAACCTTTGTGTCATTGTTTCATATAGGCACAAATTTGGATTGTTGTCGAGCTTATATGTCCATATTAGCTAATGGCTGCAGGATTGGGCATTGGGTTGAAATATCACTTTTGTCTGAGGCCATAAAAAACTTACAAGCCAAAAATTTTAAACAAAAAAAGCTACATGCTGTAAATACATAGATGATAATTAATGGTAAGATTTTACACAAACAGCCAAATCCCTGGAGAATAACTCTGGTCCTGAGGCCTCACAGAGTGTACAGATCACCTGGGATGATCCCACAGGGAGGTAGGTTTCCACCAGCTCAAATAATTGTTTCTCTCTACAGATTGATCAGTAACAATCTTAATTGTTGTGTTCATTTCTTATTTGAGTGTCAGGAGCAATTTTGATCTTTTTCACGATGAAAAGTACCAGAGACTATTGTATGGTGTTACTTTTCCAGCAGCAAGGAAGACGATTGTAATGTTATCAGTATTTAACTTTAAAGTTTAAATCTGTTACTGGATACTTTGTATATAGTTGTCATTTGCAAATTTTTCCAAATTAGATGCTCTAAAAATTAGGGATGCTGAAAAGCTGGACTGCAAAGTTTTGTATTTTGCTCAGATTTTCATGAAGTACAAATGCTATTCCAGTCAAAGAAGGAATATAGTTTTGTGGTAGTGTGGACATCAGAAACCACCAAATAGTGGAGGGGGCGAGGGCAAAAATTCTGATTATATGAGATTTCATTTTGATTTCTTAATCTTTGAGACAAAAAACTCCAGATTAAAAGCCTACAAAGTCAAAAACCATACTAATGAAGTGGGACATGTGAGACATATAACTACATGGAATTCTTGTGATGCATTCTTTTACATTATGCATCAAATTTTGTGGACACATTTGAAATGCAGTTGAAACCCTGGTTCACACCGTCTCAACACCAAAGCTTTCACCTCTTTGGACAAGTGTTGGGGATTAGTCCTTTTGCTGTATTTACAATCAAATTGAATATCCTGACATCCTTATCCTGTCATTTTTGACTAGTGTAGGAAGATTTAAACTTTAACCAATATGCCAAACATTTTATCAACAATTCTAAATTGATTTAATGTTTGAAGATATTTGTGCATGCTGATTATAGAAACACATGCGTTTGATTGATGTACTCAAGAGACCTAAATTCAATACGATACAATACAATAGAGGGAGTTAGGACATAAATTGCAATCTAGTAAATCTTAGCAGGATTATTTTGTGTTCAAAACATTGAATTGTCATCCAGGTGAAGTCACATCCATGTGTGATAAACCCACCCCGTGCAATCAAGAGGCTGGAGATGTAAATCCATTTTAATCATTAAAGGAAATAAGTTTGACGGAGGTATCTCACTTCCCCCTAAAATTCTGTAGTAAAGGTGACTCAGTTGAAGGTGTAATCTAATTTTAAATAAATGTGATTTTGAGGAAAAGTATGAGAGTCTGAAGAAGAAATAAATACCAGGTAAGCAGATGTGCTGTCAATTTTTACCAGCATTTGGTAGAATACTGTAATTATCTGGGTTGTAAGCTGCACCAGTATACAAGTAGCAGATCAAGTTAATGTCCTAAACAATATTTCTTCTGTGGAAAGATGTAATGTCCTCATAGTCATTTGCAGTGAGTACTCTATGTATTTTAACATAATAATACCAATACTAATGCATGTAGATAGCTGTACACTTGAATGACCTGCCGTTTAACCCTTTTAGACTGGAACCTATCTTGGCGACTTTGCCTTAATCAGGATTGAATTTTAATTCTAATGCACATCTTAAGTTTGACACAGCCATGCTTTGGTTTTAGTCATAAATACTTTTCTTCTGAGCTTTCATTGCCATTTGTGGTTAGAAAGTGCAGTAGTTTCAGTTACATCATTGCCTAACAGCTACAGGGACTCATTGCATTTCTAGTTGGCTAAAACAACACAATTGCTATTCTTTCATATTTGATTTTTGATTAGTTAGTATATTTTGACCTTTGATCAGCGACAGCATCTGGAAATAAACAAGCCTTCCTCAGAAAATTGAGTGGTTACATGATGGTACAACACATACTATCCTGTGAACATATATTGCCTAGAATGTAGCCAGTACGTACCTAATGACTGGTCATCATTACAACATCTAGCTGTAAACTTTCACACCCATTGTATAATTATAATCCCCTACACTCGTCTCAGCAACACCCAGGTTGAAACACAGCCCATACTTTATCCCCAATACCCAGGTGATATTCTACACCAACAGGGTATTTTAAGTAACACAGCTCTTGAGGCATACTGTACTTAATCTTCTAATATCAGCTACCATCTTATTTTATTTTCTTGATAAGGAACAATTTCAGTAAACAGTTGCTCTGCATAGAATAATAGCTATACTGTTTATCAGACTGGAAGAGGAGAAACTAGCGCACAAGCTGGAGAGAGCCTGTAGTCCGACACAGGACCCTGCCCTACCTCCAGGCTACCTTGATGCTGAGTTCTCTGAAGTAGAGGAGGAGGAGGAAGAACAACCAGTGCCACACCTACCTCACTATGTAAAATTCTATTTAAAAAAATATTGCTTTAACTCAAGCTCTGGCTGTAAAGATCTTAGTCTGTCTTCTGAATGTTGACAATAGCCTTAAATCTTTTAATGATCATACTTCAACGTCCATATTTGATTGGATGTTTCCGCTTGTGTTTCACAAAAATTTATATAAATGATTGATATTTATAATATGCCAGCTGATCTGGTATGATTTTTTGTTAGTTTGTACTGATGAATGACGGAAGAATGTGAATGACTTATTGTGACTGCTATCTTGTAGGGTAAGAAGTCAGATCGGCAACCTGAAGATGAGCGGATAAAGACACCTGAAGCTCCAACACTGGGTAAGTGTTACCTTAGTTTCAACTGACAAATGAATAGCTGAATAAAAAAATTCATTGAAGAGAAGGAGATCATTGGAATGATGGATTCTGAGATATTGTTATTGTTCATTTTTGCTGTTGAAATAGTTAATATATGTATTTATAAATCAATGTTTAAAATCGTTTGCTCTTTGGAAATGTTCAATTTCATCAAAATTAAATTCACTGAGAACATTGTAGAGTAAATCTGACATTATAAGATAATGCTAGATATTGAAGTGAGTTTCAAGAATTACGTGATAAAAAAGGCAAAAATGAAGTTACGATTTCAGTTTTAGTCAGCCATGCATTATTGTGCATGAGTTTATTTTCAGAATTAGAAACTACAAAATGAATCTAGGAGGTTTAGTGACGAATTAAGTTGTCTCTTCATATCAAGCCCTTCTTTTTCCGAATGAATCAGACCATGTACACAAATAACTCTGGTGCTTCTTGTCTTGTATTCTATATGAATTGGGTTCTGCCAGCTTTTCCAAGACCAAGACATTCCACTAAAGGAGATACCTCAGAGCCAATGGTTGCCATAAGTGATACTGAAGAGAAGACCAAGGGGGAGACAACTCGACCTACACCAGTGTTCTTATTGTCTGGAGTATCACAAGAGGTAAATCCCTCTCTCACAGCTGTACTGCTGATGTATGGGGACACAGGTGGTTCCCTGCTGGTAATACTAGAAGGGCCTATATTATTTGTTATTCAGAGTGTAGCTTATTCAGTACAGTGGTCACCTTATCTTGCAATATTCTCTATGTAGGTACCTCTCTGGATGATTGAGTGTGAGTTATAGAAATAGATCTTGAGTTTTATCAGAATTTTCTCGCAAACATAAAACAGTGCACTAACATTAAAATATGTTTAATTTAACCCATGATTAATATCATAACATTTCCAGGAATATGCACTCACACCAACCCCCACTTATGCAGAAATTCTGAAAACTGATGATATTCAGTGAGTTACTTTAGACAGGTATGGTTGTCCCCCTCAAACTGCACTTGCTGAATATTCATCAGTGAAGCCTTGGTCCTGATCAGTGCCTGGCGTTCAGGTTCAGCTGACCCACTTATGTGAAAGCTACCCAGGTCTCCCTCCTCACTTTGTATAGAGTAATATCCTTTTGTTTGCTGTGGCTGGCTTTGTTTTGGCGTATACAATGTATCTTCACTACAGAGCTGTCTACAATTATCTCTGAATTATTGAGTTTCACAGAGTGGTATTTGTTTGTATTTCCTACCATATCCAGTCCTGACCTGATACTATACTGTTGATAAGTATGTGTAGTCAGTCAATCAAGATAAAGAAGCTCTCTCTCTGAATAAATTGCTGTTTTATTGCATGTTATTTATATATTAGTTTCTGAATGGTATATAACACTAATTCCTACTTTTACCTACAAAGATTATTTGTTTCAATATTGTTCAGGAGAAGGATCACTATGGAGCCTTGGTGGAACAGCTAGGAGGACAGATGCTGGATGGTCAAATGTACAATTCTGCCTGTACCCATCTGGTCATAGGTAAGATTGTCAACTGTGCTAACCTCACTATAGGTAATATTGTCACCTGTGGTTACCTTTTCACTAAGGTAAGATTGTGCTTACCTCACTATCGATAAGATTGTTACCTGTGCAAACCTCTCTATAGGTAAGATTGTTACCTGTGCTAACCTCTCTATAGGTAAGATTGTCACCTGTGATTACCTCACTATAAATAAGATTGTCACCTGTGATTACCTCACTATAGATAAGATTGTCACCTGTGATTACCTCACTATAGATAAGATTGTCACCTGTGATTACCTCACTATAGATAAGATTGTCACCTGTGATTACCTCCCTATAAATAAGATTGTCACCTGTGTTTACCTCACTATAGATAAGATTGTCGCCTGTGATTACCTCACTATAGGTAATATTGTCACCTGTGATTACCTCACTATAGATAAGATTGTCACTTGTGATTACCTCACTATAGATAAGATTGTCACCTGTGATTACCTCACTATAGATAAGATTGTCACCTGTGATTACCTCACTATAAATAAGATTGTCGCCTGTGATTACCTCACTATAGATAAGATTGTCACCTGTGATTACCTCACTATAGATAAGATTGTCACCTCTGCTTACCTCCCTATAAATAAGATTGTCACCTGTGATTACCTCACTATAGATAAGATTGTCGCCTGTGATTACCTCGCTATGGATAAGATTGTCACCTGTGCTTACCTTGCTGTAGGTTAAATTTTGCGCGTGCTTACAGCAACTTTAAATTGATTTATACTCATTAATGTAGGTCTGCCATCCCGTAATGAGAAGTTCCTTGCTAGTGTTGCATCAGGAAAATGGGTTCTTCATAAGTCATACTTTGAAGCCTGTCGACAAGAAGGCAGGTTTGTTGCGGTAAGTTTGACAGATGGTAGGTTTTACGTATGCTTTAATGGTCTTTTCAAATAACTGCTTTGATACATCTGTCAAAATAAATTGATACTGTGAGCGCTACGGCACAGGAATAACATACATGTTATATCTTTGCAGCAAACATAAAAACAATTCTTGCTGTACAGTAATTGGTGTTGAAGTAACTAGAGCGAAGCCATTGTCATAGTTAGTATTGTTATTCAACAAACAATAGATTTTATTTTCTGAAGGAAGAAAACTCGTCGCAAACTTATAAGTTGTTTTACCGATGCAGGGCATGTTGGTACATTTATTATGATTCTGTGTATGCATCTCAATTAACAGGAGGCATTGTATGAGTGGGGAGGAGAGGGGACTTCTCGACTTGCCAGTAGTAAGAACCAGGTCGTAGTAAAGCTTGCTGCTGCAGCACACTCATGGAGGGTTTCTGTGGAAGAGGAGCGCAAGGTGAAGTACAAAATTTGTGTACAGATGAATATAGTAACTTTATCATTGATCTCAACACCTCAATTTGTAAAGGCCGACTTCTAGGACAAGGTTTCTCTGCTACGAGCAAACAGTGATGTATCTGTCTAAACGTGGGGCAAAAACCTTCATTCCCTTCCACCACTCCAATTTTTTTATTTCATCAAACAGGCATTAAAGTTTCGTGATAAATACCACATGTTAGCAAATGTTGTACAAGTCATTATCACATATAACATCTTTGTTATAAGTTCATTATATCTGACAGAGGTCCAATACCTGCCAAGGAGCATTCAGTGGCTGGAAAGTCCTTTTGTGTTCTGACCCAAACAAAGAGGCGAGTTTCCGCAGGTTACTGGCTGCTGGAGGTGCTACAGTCCTCAATAACAAGTAGGTAAACTAAAATAAATGAGATGAGGATAGTAATATCTTCATTGTACCAGTGTAAAAGTTCAAAATGGCCAGTGTTGTGTAACATGGTCGAAACAGTCAAAGAGGCATAGGATTATTCTTTGATAAACTTACACACCTTTGATGTGGAAAATCTCACAGGTACAGCTCAAATTTCACATTTTCAGAATTTCTATGCTAAAGTAAAATCAAAAAGACAATTTTAAAATGTGTTAGATTTTTCCTGTACTGAATTTCCAAACATTTCTGGGTATATATGTGTGACCTGGTGTCAGTCAGAAATTAAAAAAAACTAGCAATAGTCTGCCAGTTAGTTTTGAACAGACTTGGCTTGTCCCCTCAAACCGCATATGTAAAATATCAATTGTGCCAGTATAGATTCCAATTTGTGTCTGTCTGTTGTTTTTCTTGCATCTTCAGTCTGTCAAGTATTTAAGTTGCTGAGATAAAAAAACAGGCTGATAAAAAGTCCCTTTTATTTCTTGATAAGTTTTACCTCCTGTATTCATGTATACTTTGTATTCTGTTGATTTGTAAAATGAGGAAATGTCTGATTTTGTTAATAGTGAAGTGTTGATTAATTATTGTGTTTCAGACCACCTTTCTCTCGGACAGTCGCTGCCACACATGCCTTTATTGAACTGGCAAAATATCAAATGTCACAGGTCAGTAGAATTTACCAAATACATTTGCAAATAAGTCTTCAGAAGAAAGTGGGTTCCCACCTCCCGAATTTATATGTAATCATTTACTTTGTATTTTGAAAAATTTATCCAATGTTTCTCAGAAGAGTTGACCATTGGCTGTGGCACAACTCGAGGGACGTTATTTTTAGGTCATCTGACCGAAGGGTCTGATGACCTATTGCGATCGCCTTTCATCCACTGTCGTCTGTCGTAAACATTTTCAACTTCTTCTCAAGTTCTACATGTATTTTATTTTATATTTTATGTCAGATGACCATTAAGGCCCATGGGCCTCTTGTTTGATATAGTTGAGATATCAACCCGATAACTTGGAATCAAAAGAGAAAGACAGTAAGGATACAAAAATTTCCCTATTGGTCTTGCCCCATCAAAGAGGTTAAGTGACTAAGCTTTAATTTGGGAATATTTGAAATACCCAAACTATAGGCACGTATACCATTGCTGGGCTTTAAAATCCAGATGAGCAACACAGGCCCGATGAGCATCTTGTTTTCTGCTGATTTGATGACAAAAGCATTATTGCAATACATGTCTACTGTTTGCTATTTTCTGCTGATAAGGATCAGTAACTGATAATTTTCTCATGTCTGGTCACAGGAAGACCTGGAGGTACTGCTCAGTGCCAATGTAATGTGTTTGCGCCCTGACTTCATAGCTGCACATCTGACGGACAGTCCCCCACCACGCCCTGAAGACTTCTGTCCTCAAGAAGTGGCTGCACTTGTTGTAAGGTATGTACAATGCTTGTTACTGTATAATCCACTAAAATTGTCATCCAGAGAAAGAGTGAGGCCATATAGGTGAAATATAGCAAATTCTTTAAAATTCTTGTCCTCCTGTAGGAATGATAGGATTTTATCCTAATTTGTTGTGAATCATGTTTAGAAGAAAAGGAAGCATTTTCATATAAACAGTGTGGTGCCACCTAATAGGAGAAATAGAGGAGATTCTTTAAAATCCTACTCTTTCTCTAAGAATGGTTGGATTTTGCCCAAAATTGGTCAGAAGCATCTTTGGGTAATGGAAAATCGATTTTATATAAATGATGGATCAAGGCCCCCTGGAGCAGGAGGGGCAGGGAATCAAAGGAGAATCAATCTAGGGCGGGAGGGGAGGAACTGAATAAGGGATATGTTTTATATCTTTGTAGATTCTCATCTTATAACCATGTAAAGCATTGCTGGACATAATAACATAAATACAATCTTGATGTAAGAACTGGCTCTGGAGTCTGGTTCTACTCCTCTGGACTTAATTTCTGGGTTATACCTTTGAAACAGATCTCCACCCTATAACCATATATAGCAATGATGGGCATCAAGAGATTAACACAATTATGATGTAAGAATTGGTTCTGGGGTCTGGCCCTACTTCAAGGGACTCTTGGTACTTTCTTTGAAACGATTGAAATCTCGACCCCTAAACCATAAACAGTAATACTGGGCATCAAGGGATAAACACATTAGTGATGTAAGAACAGGCCTTGTCTGTGGCCCCACCCTTTGGACTTCATTTCTGTGTTATGTCCTTGAAACTATTGAAATACCCACCCCACAACCATATATAGAATTGCTTGGCATCAAGAGGGAAATTATTTCTGGGTCATATTTTTGACATAGTTGAGATACTAATCTGAGTACAATGTAAATCCTTCTGAGCATCAAAAGAGAAAAAAAGTAATGATATAAGAATTTCCCCATTGGTCTTTTTCCATCAAAGAAGTTAAGCGACTGAGCTTTAATTTGGAAATATTTGAAATACCTAACCTATAGGCATGTGTGAGGCACTATATAGGCCCTATGGGACTCTTGTTCCTTGTTAATCTACAACAACTTCTGCCCCCCAAAAGTGCTTTTAAATCAATATAGAAACAATTGTACTAAAATCAATAACTTCCTGTAGCCTTTTTTATATATCACATTGCTTCAAATAGATTGTGGTTGGTGTTTGTGTAATAGTTTTATTGCATTTTTTTCAGTCTGAAAGGAGAGGCAAGTGGAAGAAAAAGACTGACATCATCCTCATCCAGCGAGTCTAGAAGTAGACGAACTAAACATCATTGACAGTGGCTGTGTGTAGGAAAATATTGTCACAGCACAAAAGTTTGAAAACTTATGACTTCTGTGATGGTTGATCATTTGTGTGTCATGCTAGCCAACCTTTAAATTGTGGGTGACCAGAGCTATGGATACCTGGAAAAGTTATCATTAACGTCATCTGTAACCAGAAATTTTTTTATCTGTGTACATAGGAGCTGTGTATTTATTTTTACAACTCAGTAACTATGACAGTATGTCATACCAGTCTAACACAATGGAATGCCAAAATGATAGACAAATCAATTCACTGGCAGCTATTTACAGTGATGTGCCTTTCTCTGTTGTGTTCAATGTGGACTTCCAAAACAGATATCTCAGATGTTTATCATGATACATGTTTTTTAACAATAAAACAATATTGATATATATATGTATAAAGCCTATACATAATAAATATTGATGTTAAGAATACATGGTCCTTGTTGGGATAATAAACTAGGAACCACTCTTCATGTCTGATTAAGACTAGGAGGAGATGGAATTCTTGATAATTCAGCTAAATAGAGGATATTCTAGAGTGTCTTCAGCAGTAACAAATACATGTACATTTTTCAAAAGTGTCTGATATTTTAGTGTTGTGCACTCATGAAAATTATATGAAATGTTATACACACAAGTGAAATAATTTGTTATTACTTAAGACACTATAAGATATTCTATTTATTACATTTTTACATGGAAACAACGAACGTAAATTTATTTTCATGTTCACAGAAAGTGTTGCTTATTCATATCACTAACAGATAACAATTTGCTATAAAGTGTTCTGAGGGAGTTTAAACTGTGACAAGTTACTATGCTGCTGATAATATGGCAGCAAACTAGCTGTTACTGTTGGTGACACATATACTCTTGAAATGTCTAGCTCCAGTTTTAAGACGTTTGTTGGGGATTGGGTTTGACCTCTGATAAGGTAATATAAGACACTGGCTTACATTGTTTACTGACCTCCAAGGAAATGAAGGTTAAAATGGAATTGAAGGTTGTGTTACTAGTAAACAACGCATTTAGGTTCTGGGTTTGTTAGCTCACGTGGTCCCTTGTATGTCCAGCATCTGTCAACTTTTCCCTAAAAATGACTACTAGTTATGAACGACTGAGCAGATTTTGACCAGATTTGGTGGGAAGCACCCTCCCGGGAAGGGGGAATAAATATTGGTTTTTGGTACCCAGAGGTCAGAGGGGTGGGGCCCAAAAGGGCAGGGCTAAGGGGGAATAATTAAATTCTTAAAGAATCTTACAGTTCCTGTAGGAATAAATGGATATTGCAAATTTGGTCTGAAGCATTTTTCAGAGAATTGCAATCAGTTTTGTATGAACATTAGGCCTCAGCTCCCTTGGGTAGGCGAACAGCTCCCTGGGGTAGGCAGGACAGCTCCCTTGGGTAGGCGGGACAGGGCTCAGTAGGGAAAAAGAATAAACTCTTTTAAGTCCTAATTTCTGTAGGAAAGAATGGATATTGCCCAAATTTGATCTGAAGAATTCTTTGGTAAAGCAGAATCAGTCTTGTATAAAGTTAGACCACAGTTGCCTGGGGCAAGAGGGGAGGGACCTAATATGTGAAATAGTGTGAATTCGTTAAAATCCTATTTCTCCTTTAGGAATGATTTGTTTTAGTCGAATTGCTGCTAGGTGACACGGGGTGGAAACTCTAATGGCAGCTAGGTGACATAGGGTGGAAACTCTAATGACAGCTAGGTGACACAGGGTGGAAACTCTAATGGCTGCTAGGTGATACAGGATGGAATGTCTAATGGCTGCTAGGTGACACAGGGTGGAAACTCTAATGGCAGCTAGGTGACATAGGGTGGAAAGTCTAATGGCAGCTAGGTGATACAGGATGGAATGTCTAATGGCTGCTAGGTGACACAGGGTGGACACTCTAATGGCAGCTAGGTGACATAGGGTGGAAAGTCTAATGACAGCTAGGTGACATAGGGTGGAAAGTCTAATGGCTGCTAGGTGACACAGGGTGGAAACTCTTATGTAAGCTAGGTGACACAGGGTGGAAAATCTAATGGCTGCTAGGTGACACAGGGTGGAAACTCTAATGGCTGCTAGGTGACACAGGGTGGAAACTCTTATGGAAGCTAGGTGACACATGGTGGAAACTCTAATGGCTGCTAGGTGACACAGGGTGGAAACTCTAATGGATGCTAGGTGACACAGGGTGGAAACTCTAATGGCAGCTAGGTGACAGGGTGGAAAGTCTAATGGCTGCTAGGTGACACAGGGTGGAAACTCTAATGACAGCTAGGTGACACGGGGTGGAAACTCTTATGGAAGCTAGGTGACACATGGTGGAAAGTCTAATGGCTGCTAGGTGACACAGGGTGGAAACTCTAATGGCTGCTAGGTGACACAGGGTGGAAACTCTAATGGCAGCTAGGTGACAGGGTGGAAACTCTAATGGCAGCTAGGTGACACGGGGTGGAAACTCTAATGGCTGCTAGGTGACACAGGGTGGAAACTCTAATGGCAGCTAGGTGACAGGGTGGAAAGTCTAATGGCTGCTAGATGACACAGGGTGGAAAGTCTAATGGCTGCTAGGTGACACAGGGTGGAAACTCTAATGGCAGCTAGGTGACACGGGGTGGAAACTCTAATGGCTGCTAGGTGACACAGGGTGGAAACTCTAATGGCAGCTAGGTGACAGGGTGGAAAGTCTAATGGCTGCTAGATGACACAGGGTGGAAAGTCTAATGGCAGCTAGGTGACACAGGGTGGAAAGTCTAATGGCAGTACTGAGGACACACCAATCTTGGGATTTTCTTCGTCGCGGGCAGTTACTTATGAAGTTATAAGATTTGCCTAACATCTTAACAAGGTAATTGCTAAACGATCTGGGATAAAAACGATATCCTGTGACAAGCAACACTATTGTCGGTGTCATCTACATAATGCGTAGTTGTTACACATACCCGTGTATTTACTTCCTGGTTGAGCTTTGTCAACGAAGCTGAACTGCTGTGTATTTTAAAACAGAGCAATGAAAACTCGCATTTCAGACCACTACCAGCCGATCTGGACATCAAAACTTCATCAGATAACTTTGTGAATATATATATATATATAAAGACCTGAACATGGTAGCGCCACAACAGTCCGTTACTTAGGACACACAAAGCTTGGGATTTTCTTCGTCGCGGGCTGTTATATATGTAGTTTTCTTCACCAATTGACTGACAGTAATAAAGAGGTATGGCGCTTTACCGGAGAATATACTTCATCGCCTTGTTGATCTGAAAACGTGCTTTTGGAGTCACCTGTCTAAATATAGAACATGTGCGTCCGGAAAGTGGTGTGTGTAGCCAGTGATTTTACGATTAAAGCCGGGAAATGTACAAGAAAATGCGAAACAAATTATTAATTCAATGACATGATTACTCCTTAATATGTTACCTTTTATAATCCTGATAATACCTTGAACATTGAAATGACATTCTTCCATGTCTCCAACATATCAAGGAGGATCTGTTTGTCACTTACACTTTCATATCAAAGGCTGCGGGTTTTCACCAGGTATTGCTGCAAGGCGTATGGATATGAATAATGAAGTTTTAAAATCACATTAATACCTTTTACATCATACTGACTCCATGAGCGTGAAGTTTAAAAAATTGCCTAACATCTTAACAAGGTAACACACTATTGTCCGTGCGATGTACATAACGCGTAGTTGTTACACATTCGCGTGTATTTACTTCCTGGTTGAGCTTTGTCAGCGAAGCTGAACTGTTGTGTATTTTAAAACAGAGCTATGAAAACTCGCATTTCAGACCACTACCAGCCGATCTGGACATAAAATGGCCTCAATTGTTGTTTACATAACTACTCTATGTAACTGGCGGAAACTTTATCAGATAACTTTGTGAATGTCCGGTGATCGTGTTCACATAATGGAAATTAAGCATGTACATGTTAAAAAGCGAGATTTTAGTGAATGTAAAATTGAATCCAGTTACATCATCCTTTTGACAGAAAACAAGTATTTTCTTTAGTGCAAATGTACCAGATCGCAAGATGTAAACATTGTTCATTGGAAATCACCGGAACACACGAACTACATGCAACAACCAGCAAGTGTTCTTCAGAAATCCAATATTCCATTGAAGAGTGAAACCAGTATTTCATTTGATGACTTGGTGTACTGTGTTTTGTTTCTTAAAGAATGGAAACTGATGCACTGAACAGAAAACAAAATGTCTTTAATCTATCCCGACACACGAGTACAGTGTGCCGCGACAGTATACAGGTATACAAATCAGGAGTAATTCACTTTGGTTGGGAACACCAGCTTCGCCATTTTACAATTGTGTGTCAGGTTCCACGCGGTTGTGAAGAGTTCCAGGTACGCTTTGTGCATAAAAAATTCAGCAATGAACTGTACCTTATCAGATTATATGTGACGACACGGAACCCCCATACGTATATGCATGATTTAGCACCTTTGAGAAATAATCACGGTGAGTATGTCACTGTATTAACAGCAGAGTTAACTGTTTTGTTTAATGTCTCGACAGTTGTGAGAGGGTCGTTTAATGAAATATGTACATTATCTGGCAAAATTTCAATAATGAGTTATCGTACCAGAAAATAAAATTATAATGATAAATATATTTTTTAACGAACATTTATCCAGGATTACATGTTTAGACGAAGTCTACAGATGTAAGATGTTAACTTTATTTGACAACAACTGCGAAACAAGTTTACGACTTATACTAATCACGCTTGTTAGACCCACGTAGTCCAGCAGGTGACCCTTTACGCTTTCCTTTGGGGAAACGAAACCCAGATGTCTTGGTGGAAGGAGAGTGTGCCACCTAACCACCCGATATATATAAAGGGGAGCGGTACAAAGACATCGGCGGTACACTAAAGACATAAAAGATATGCGAGTATAATGGATAGATTAAGTACACCGACAAGACATATATATCACTATACATACTGCATACCAGTATCAAACTATTGCTTTAAAAAAATCCTCAAGTATTTCCTTAAAAAGCTGCGGCATTACAAGCATTAAATAATTGCATTCGATCATTCAGTAAAACAGAATATGTGTACATAGATGACAGTTTACTACCGATGAAGGGAAGGTGTGAACGACACACTTACTATAGTATTGAACAAAGTATTGATACTATTGTATTGAAGTATTCAAATAATCGAGTCAAGTATACAACGACCTCTGTGATTGGTCGGGGGCGGAGTTTAGACAACCTGAATAGTTGATCTGACACCCAATTTGTTCCGGTAGGCGGAGTTATTGTACACTATCAGTTACATAACAATTACTAAGTAATCGCTGGAAACATGTCCGACGACGGCAACAGTACGCAAAATTTTCTTCGACGAAATTATGTCCGATACGAACGATATGGGGAATCCTGTTTTTGTACAAG